ATTTCGTACTTGTATTATGAAATAGATACTCTAGTTACTCGCACATAGGAGGCGAGACCCTCTCAAGGTCAAGCACCATGGAACTACTAGTGGGTGGACATTATTTTCAAATGATAACATTATTTTTAAGACTGAAAGCTAAGCATGATAATTTAATGATATATTGAGTTCATTATTTCATTAATTGTTGAACATGATATTTATATATATTTTTTGAAATATATATTTTTGTTTTAGTATATTGCAAGTATATTGAGTTGATATATAATATTTTTGAGAATTCCTATATATGATTGGTTATGTGTGGGGGTACATGGGGTGTTGGTTTGAGATTGTGAAAAGAGAGTGGATTATAGTATGTCAGTTGAAGCGCTACACACACTACCCTATGTACCTCCCCAGATAATTGAAATGCGGTGATACTTGGATATGTCAGAACCCGGGCACCCTTGACGGGGTGTTTCGTAGACCCTTAGCAGGGTTAGTCTGCGCACGTAGGACTTGTCACAAGCGTACGAGTATTGAGGATTTTGTTGTACGTGCTGGTGAGCTTAGTCCCAGTTGGACGGCTTGTTCCCTAGTCACATGGTCAATTGAGGATTCTTCCATGTGAACTAGTCAAACAATCACCCGGTTGGATTGTTTCCCTGGTACAACTTAGTGGTGTCATACTTATATAACTATTTCAATAAAGACTTGTTGTCCAAGTTAGGTTAGGACTTTTAATTAATTCTTTTCCTACTCTTTCTTGGCATGTGGAGTATATAAAGAAGGCTTAACATATTGCTTAGGGGGTTGGAGAAAAAGGAACCCAACTCACACATATTCACTTTCTTAGCCGTTCATAGCAAGATTTTGCAGAGAAGGTTCAACTACAATGGATTCATCTAAGTGTTTTTCTATCTTAATTAAAACTTTGTATTTTATGTTCATGAGTATATTGTTTGTTTCTAAGACGACTATGGGTACCTAAATTCTTTGCTAGGGATCTAATGTAACCTAACATGATGGTTCTATGTTATTGAGTTTATATCTTATTTTTAATCAATTTATATTTCTTGTTTCATTCATTATTATAATTGTGATCTTGAAACTTGTAATTGGCCATTTTATAGGTATTTTGGATTGTCTAAGATAAGGTTGGGCAAGGGGTTCATCCCTAATCTTATAGGTACTATGAATGAATGAGTTGTTGAAGCCGAGGTCCAAGCTAAGACACTTCTTGGTTCTTGATTGTTCTTCTTGAACTTAATGGGGTTCTCGATTAATCTTTGGCTATGGGGTTCATTAGTTGGGTTTAATTGAGAATACTTGGTGATACCTTGGCCAAACTAATCATCATAATAACGAAAGAACGAACCCTTGGAATTGAATTGAAACTTTATTCTAAAAATTAACTCGATACATAAAATAGGGTTGTTATGGTGAAATCAGAGACCTAGTATTCATCTATTGATTTTCAAAACCAATTTCCAACATTTATTATTTTATTTTATTGCTTTAAATTTTCAATACTAAGATTAAAGTTGAGTAATCTTATTTTCGGCTCTTTTAATATTTTAATATTTTGTTATGTTTTTTTTCTATTTTTCTTAAGGTATTCATATTTAGAATTACTTGATAAACTTTACAAATCTCTATGGGAATGACTCTTGTATTTTCTTGCTATACTATCTTATCGATTTGTGCATTTGAGAGATATAACTTTTGTTCATTAGTCTTTTCGCTATTTCTTAACGAGATTCATTTGCTCAAGTTTAGGAAGCCTTTCAAATGCCTAGGTATGATTAATAGCCATTTTAACGTCAGTATGTATAAATCAAAACTATAAATATGCAACTTTTGTACATAATATATTACAATTTCATCTACAAACATGGATTGCATATGCAAATCCCTTGAGTTTGTAGTCATTCCACTCACCCTTTGCCTTATTTCCCTTGCCATTCTCATCAACTTCTTACTCATGTCCCTAATCCGTGTCTCTACTTCTCTTTTGCTTCCCTTCGTATTCCTCTTATGCTTCCTCTTCCCCTTGTAGTCCTACTGTCTCCTTTGCAATTTCGACCTAACCCTTATTTTTAGTATACCCTATTAGTGCCCTCGATAATGAATCATGGTTCTTTTTGTAAGAAATGATTTCCCACAGATACTAGTTCCACAGTCTCATACTTTCTACAAGCTTTAAATACTTTAACTCTATTTTATTAGTTCTTTTTAGACCTAACATCACAACTTCAACAAAATATATGAGACCTAAATTCAACCTATCGTCCTTGACTGTGAAAGACTTCAGTATAGTGTCTACATAAAAAATTATAACAATTTATTCCCTTTGAAGTAGGTATCTTGCAGGATACTACCTTCATTGTTCTTCGTGTCTACTTAGGGAAGTTCACCACACAACATACCAGTTATTAATTAAAAGTCTTGCTTGATGAACTATATGACAATCTCCCCAATTAGAAAACTAACGGCATCCAGTTCTCTAAGCCCATTTCCGGTAACCTTAAGGACCATTAACCCATGGACAATGGAATGGCTCCACTTCAGCTCATCTATATAAACTAGATGTACAAAAGAGGACTCCTTTGAACTGCATCAGTTGTTGCCCATTGAGTGGCAGGATACGATTGGCTTGGAATTCGTATTGGATCTTTGCACTAAAAACTTCTTCCTCTCAAATAACTAACTTGATTTGCTATTGCTACTCCATGGTGGTAATAAAACACTTTTGATTTCAACATGGACCACACTACAATCTTTACTTGTCAACATGTATTTATCTTATATTACATCATATGATGATTACAAATATTATCAAGGGAAATATGTTCATCTAATCTTGCTAACAAGTAAACCAAATTATAGAGCATATGATGTAGAATAGATAACGGAAGCCATTGAAGAGGAGCTGGAGCGAAACTTGCTCAAAGGCAAATTAGGTAAACTGTAGATTTGGGCTCCGAGATCATAATCGGGCCCATGACTAGTTGATTTGAAGAGAACAACATCACGAGTAAAATACATTGCTTTTCCATGACGTATGGGCTTTTTCGGGCATCCGAGATAGTTTACTAGCCCGAAATCCAGTTTTAAAGTTTTATCATTTTTGGAAACTTCGTTATTTTCCTATTTTAATTCCTTTATTATTCCTAGTGTTTCTAGGAGTATTTAAGCATACTGTACCTGTGGTTATGGTTATGTTTTGTTATTCCAGTTTATCAAATAAATCTTGAGGTTTTCTCATATCTTCTTGGTGGATTCCAGAGTTACATGTTTTAGGCTAAGGTTTAGTCAATCAATTGTCACGTTGCGTCAGCATATTAGGGATAATTCAAAACTAACCCAACAGGTAATACAACAACTTAAAAAGAGGTCATCATTATGTTCTCTATCACGTTTAAGGCATGAATCTTCACTTGGTTTAACAAACACAACCCCATCCCTCCCCAACTATATCTAGGCCCCAAATGTCAACTTATACTACGAATTCAACAGGTGCCAAACATATGAATACAACAAAAATGCCCATTATAAAACCGTTCATTTCATTACTGCGCCCATGCCTAATCATTAATAATAAGAAAATGTATTACTTATACTTCCATATGTTGCAATAGACATACTGAAGTAACACTTCAATTCAAAATACCCACTTTAATTTTGTCACAACATGTTCAACCCCTAATGTTTACAAAATTTGGAAATATGTAGGGATTGAAACTGTTCACCTTTGGTTTCACGACTATCTTGGGTGTTGTAACAGAGTCAAACTTGTCTACTATTTGTTTGACGTACGTCAAAGAGAGAGAAGGGTATCGCCCAATTTGGGGATTGCAGGATATCGACGCCACCCAAATCTGTTCCGGAGCAACATAATGAATAGGGGCACTAGCACGACACTAGTGGTAATGAGTTAAATATTTAAAAGATGGGCTTATAAGCAAATATGTGATAATTTATGATTATTTGGGAATGAGATTTCCAAAGGGTCCATTATAGAATAAGTGATCTACAAAAGGTCCATTTTAGCACAATCACCTTTTATCTTTGCTTTTTTTTTATTAATTTGAATTTGCAAGATTTTTAAATAATTTGTTAGGGAGTTACACCAGTTACCACCAAATCAATGAGATCAATTCAATACGATTTGTAACAGCTTTCAGTTATAAGATTAATTTGTAATTTACTCTGTAATTAGTATAGAGCTATTACATTGGACATCCTTGTATAAATCTTGTATTCTTATATCCTTCATAAATCTGTAAAGATAAACCTTTTCTACATGGTATCAGAGTGATACCCTTAGTATGATCTTTGCTTTCCTTTTTGTTAGTATTACCTTTTATCCTTGGGGTTATATTATTTGTGACTTACATTCCGGTAATTTTTTTTTCAAGGCCAATGTAAATATGGTCTTTATCATGTCTTACTGTCTTCTTCTCCATTCTTTGGCTTCAAGCAAGCTCTCATCTTCATTGTCGCCCCAACCTCCATTTGGTGTCGTCGTCTCGGACATCTCTCTGATCGTGTTCTTGGCAATCTAGTTTCTCGATCCTTGTTAGGATCTCATTTTTCTTTGTGCACTTGCTAAATTTACTCGTCTTTCCTTTGTGTCTCATGATCATTGGTCCACTACTCCATTTGATTTAATACATTATGATGTGTAGATGTCTCATACTGTATATGTCTTTGGCTTCCAATATTATGTTATTTTTACGAATGATTATACTCATTACATATGGCTTTTTCCCATGTACTAGAAATTCGAAGATTTCCCTCATTTCTCTAACTTTGTGACTTATTTGCAAACTCAATTTTCATCATTTGTTAAACAGTTCCAAAGTGATGGTGGCAAAGAATTTGATAATTTGATGTTCAAGCATTTTTGTGCACATAAAGGCATTTTACATAAGCTCTCTTGTTCTAGCATCTTCAAACCCAACCCGAAATTTCAGTCCAACTTCTCTTCTCACTATCCAATTCCACAGGCTCTTATGGCTGTGGCTGAGTCTGAGATTGAACTCACTTGTTACACACAAGCATCCAAGTCTCCCTACTGGCAGCATGCCATTTTAAACCAATTCAATGCTCTTCTTGAACAAAGAACATGGTCTCTTATCCCCTCTTCTTCCCATCAAAACATAGTCAGCTGTAAATGGATATTCAAAATCAAACGATTTAAAGCATGTCCTATCGCCAAAGGGTTTCATCAGCAGTCTGAGATCAATTATTTTGACACGTTTAGTCTAGTGGTCAAGCTGACCACTATTCTCACCATTATGAGCATTGCTATTTCTTGTGGGTAGGGAATACGGCAACTCGAAGTTAAAAATGCTTTTTTGCACGTTTATCTCTCCGAGGCGGTGTTTATGCAACAACCTCCTGGCTTTGTTGATCCTCTTCAGCCCACTCATGTTTGCAAACTCCATAAGGCAATATATGGTCTTAAGCAAGCCTCCCTGCTTGGTTTCAGAAGTTTTGCGCTTTTCTACTTCTAGTTGGTTTCATCCAAAGTCGATCTAATTCGTCCTTGTTTGTGTATCATGATGGCTCGCAAGTAATGATTTTACTCCTCTACGTCGATGATATTGTGCTTACGGGCAGTAATCCCTCTCAACTTTCCACTTTTATTCACGCTATTGGTATTGAATTTAAGGTTAAAGATCTTGGCAGGCTTAATTACTTTCTTGGCATCGAAGTCTCACATCTCAAAGATTCTGTTCACCTTGCACAAAATAAATATACACTCGATCTTCTCTGGAAAAGTAATATTCTAGATTGTAAACCAATCTCAACCCCCATGGTTTCCCAGACCTCTACTTTTCGCACTGATGGGTTTCTCTTTGCTGATCTAACTCTATATCGCCAACTAGGGATGGGCATTCAAACTGGAAAACCGAGCCGAACTAGACCCAAAAAAATCGAAAAAAACCGAGTTGACCAAAAATCAGACCGAATTGACCAAAAACTGGACCGGATCGATTTAATTCGGTTCCAGTTCTAGTTTTTATATTGAAAAAATCAGACCGGTCTGAACCGGACCGGTCATATTAAATAGAACAGCTCTTGGGTTTGCATTCATGATATTGATGTCTTGGGTAGAGAAATAGAACAGCTCTTTTTTATTTTTTCTATGAAACCTGTCTTACTTTTTGTTTGAAGTCCACGCCTATAACCTCACTTTCTCTCATCCCATGCCTATTTGTATTAAAATATTGCAATTAAAAAGCAACTTGGGTGGGCTTTCATGATATGATGTTGATGTTGATGTCTTGGGTAGAGAGAAGAGAAAGGCTTTTTAAATTTTTTTTAATGGAATCCCTCTCATTTGACGTTTCTTTTTGAAGTTTGTTTTTAATCCCTTTCATGATATGTTGATGTTGATGTCTTGGGCAGAGAGAAGAGAAAGGCTTTTTAAATTTTTTTAATGGAATCCCTCTCATTTGACGTTTCTTTTTGAATTTTCTTTTTTATCCCTCTCATTTCTCTGATTTCTTCTTTCTCTCTCATTATTTCTTTCCTCTCTTCTTGCTCACCAGTTCTTTCTTCCTCTCTTTTCTCCGATTTCTTTCTTTTCTCTACTCTCATCCCATTTATTCTTTCTTTCCTCTATTCTTTCTCACTGATTATTTCTTCATCTCTTTCTCTTATAATAATTATTTTTTATTTCACACCAGGTCTTTATTTCTTCTTCTCCTCTTTGTCCGATTTCTCTTTTTGGTTCTTACTCTCCTTTGGTGCATCAATTGGATATGTTTTGCTGGATAGTTTTTTTTTGTTAGTATCTTTTAAGGTTCAGATATGGTTTTTCTTGTATGGATTTGGCAATTTGCTCCATTGCTTTGTGTAAAAATATAAGTTAGGCTAAGAGCCGATCCAAAGTGTGAACTGAACCGGACTTAAACCGGCCCGGGTTGGTCTGGTTTTCTTTGGCATTTTAATTAAAACTCGAACCGGGCCGAACTGGATGAACAGTACTGGTTTCGGTTTCAATTTTGCTTGAAAATCGGGCCGAACCGGACCGTGCCCAGCCTTATCGCCAACTCATTGGTGCTCTTCAATATCTCACCATAACTTGCCCTAATATAGCCTACATAGTTCAACATGTTTCTCAATTCATGAGTTCTCCCAGTGATACACATTTGGAGGCTGTGAAACGCATACTTCGTTACCTGAAAGGAACTCTTGGGCATGGTTTATCCCTTTGTCGTTCCCATGATTCTTCTCTACTTATTGCATACTCGGATGCTGATTGGGCAGGGTCTCCAGACACTCGTCGATCGACTACATGGTATTGTATCTTTTTAGGACCCAATCTCATTTAATGGAGTTCCAAGAAACAACGTACAGTCTCTCGATGCCGAAGTCGAATACCATGCTCTAGCTTATGCATGTGCTGATACTATTTGGATTCAAGGCCTTTTATGTGAACTTCAGTATCCTCTCTAGCGTTCGGTTATTCTTAATTGTGACAGTCTTTCTACTACTTACATGGCCGCTAATATGGTCTTTCATTGTAGCACAAAAACATATTGGTCTTGATTATCATTTTGTTCGCGAATGCATTGACACGGGAAGTCACCAAGTTCAATTTATTCCCTCTACACACCAACTTGCTAATGTTTTCACCAAAGGTTTACCTACGTTTCAATTCAATCGTCTCGTTTCCAAACTTGTCACCTCCCCAGAGTCAAGTTTGTGGGGGAGTTTTAGGGAGTTACATCAGTTACCACCAAATCAATGAGTCAATTCAATATCATTTGTATAAGTTTTAAGTTATGAGATTAATTTGTAATTTACTATGTAATTAGTATAGGACTGTTACATTAGACATCCTTGTATAAATATTGTATTCTTGTATCCTTCATAAATCAGTGAAGATCAACCTTTTCTATATAATTATTTATCTTTTTATGAATTTTAAATTACATTTATTTATTTTTAACTGCGCTTAGATAGAATGTTTATAAATTGCTAACTTTGTAAATGACAACTAGCCTCTTCGCACGACCTTCCGCGCATGTGAGAGGCTTTTTCTAAAAAAATTTAAATTTATTTTAGAATTAAAAAAGATAATGGATAGTTGTGTTCCATAAAAATAGGATCCATCATCTGATTTTTTTTTAAATTTTAATTTTTTAAATATGAAAAATTGTGAATTTACCATATTATCTTAATTTAATTAATAATTTTAATTCTTAATATTTGCATTAACTAAGAGCATTTTCTGGTATTTTGAATGTTTTACCATTCTCTGCCTTTTGCTTTATATATATGGATGACCAAATCGGCTAAATTTTTGGTCGAGCCAAGTTAAAAATGACTTAACTTGCAAACAGTAGTCTAATGGCTAGTTTGACATTGCTGTGCTGTGAAAATAATCGTTGTCAGATTTGCTGTGAGTGAAATCAGCTGTGAGAGAAAGCAGTTTGACGTTTGGTAAAATTTTTGTTAAAAGTGTTGTTGGTATTGATTTTACGCATAATCAAAAAATGATTGCCGCATAATCATTAAACCCAGCGCCTCTTCGAAACTGATTCCTGCATAATCAAAAAATAAAAGCATTTCATTAGCTGATTTTCCTTATAGCTTTCTCTCACAACAATTTTCAACAATAATTGATTTTCTCACAGTTTACCTAACAGGTTGGACTTCTCAAAATTTTTTAAAAATCACTTATCACCCCAAATAAGCAATGCTAAACATACACTAGTTTAATCCCAATGGCACTACAACATGTGTAAAAAAACCCCTCCCCTTTCTAACTTTGGTAGAAAAAAATGGGCAATTTATTTATTTATTTTTAAAAGCGATCAAATTGAATTTTCCTAATAAATTAAAAAAAGAAAAAAAAGAAAAGAAGAAGGAAAAAAAAAAAAAAAAAAAAAAAAAAAAAAAAAAAAAAAATCCTGTTGTTTTTGTTTTGGTTTACAAAAAAAAGTACGGGCCTTTTCTTTTTCAGCTCGATCGCAGCTAAAGATTGACAACACACAAACCTCTTCCTTCTCTCTCACGAACCATGAGTCTCTTCGGTCTGGGCAGGCAAGTATAAACTTTTGATGTGTATATTTCTTTATTATCTTTAAGAATTGAACTTTCTTCTATACTTGGAAGTTTCCATTTTCTTTCCTTCCTGATCAGTTGATGCCTTATATGTTATACTGGGAGCCCTTTCACTTGATCTATGAAATTGGTGTCTTTTGATAGGTTTGTTTTGCTCTATTTGCGTTGATTAATGGGTTTTTCTCCCCTCCCACAGTTTTATCTTTTGTTATTCAAACACAATGATACTGTAAGTGTTATGTAAATGCAATATTTGGTAGGCGAGGATTAGTGTAAAGAAAGAAACTAAATCGAATGACCATTGATAATTGTCTCGTTCTTTGTTGATTATTAAATTTTAGTAATAGTGATAAATGATGCCTATTGATAATCAAAAGCTCTTTTCCAGGTTTGGTAGTTCATGAAAATAATAACGGCAAGATTGTTGGTGGTGGATAACATTATAGATGAATAGCAATATGGTAGTCAATGCATGACATGGGTCATTCAGTTGCTTGGAAGTGATTATTTTTTCTTTGCATCGTTTTTCATAATGATGATTTGGTGTCTGGAACCTAACGGATAATAACTATTTACTCAATATGTTGCCGTTCTCTGGTATTAAAATGGGATGAATGTGTGGAATGCAAAGAATGCTGTGGCAGATGGAAGGAAGCTGTTTTTGCCGAGGGGAGGAAGGCTTACTCTACTTTAATACGTTTGAAAAGTTTTCCAAATTATTATCTATCCCTTTTATAATTCCAATTAAAGTGTGAAAAAGGTTCAAAAAGGTAATGAGGAAATCCTTGTATGAAGGTATTGAGAAAGGAAGCAATGAGCACTTGATTAGTTGGGATGTGATATATAGAATGAAGAAAAGGATGGTTTTGGGGTGGCTAATTTGAGGCGCTACATGGGAAATTGCTGTGGAGGTTTCATTTGGAAGGGCAGGAAGTATGGCTTACTCTTACTTCATTCTCTTTTGTGTAGTTTGCCAATTGATATCTTTCAGTATTTAGAGTTCTTGCGAAGTGGCAAAGAAGTTAGAAAAGTTAATGAGGAATTTCTTGTGGGACGTTACTGAGGAAAGGAGAAAGGAAAAAGGAGCATTGGTTTGGTTGAGATGTAATATCTAGAAGGAAAGCAAAGTCTTGTTTAGGTGTGGGTAATTTGGTGATGAAAAATAAGGGGCTACTCAGGAATTGGTTGTGTAGGTTTGTTCAAGAGAGGGATCTCCTGTACTGCAATTTTATTTGAAAGGTTAAGGTTTTTGGGGGGATGTAAAAAGGGTGAAGGTTTTTTTGGACATGTGATGTTTTGTCTGTGTTTTGGGATGTGTTGCTTGTAAATAAACAGAAGGATTTTTGACAATTATGGAGCGAAGGGTGTAGATGTTTTGCATGACAATGTTCGATTTGGGTCTTCCTTGTGGGCTTCGGTCTAGGGATGCTCCTTTTTCTACAATATATTTTCAGATTAGAGGCGGTGCTGTTTTTGTAGGTGGTAGTTTCTGTAACCATAATGCAATTTTTTGTATTTTTATCGCGTTTAGGTTTGATTTCAGTGGACTCCTTGTCTACCGTAATATGGGATTATACTGGTTTTAGATTAATATATCTCAAAACAAAAAATCACAATGCTGGTTAGTTTATTGGGACTAAGTAGAAGAGTACAAAGCTGTGAGAAGAGGCTAGATTTAAGGCAAATGGTCATGTTATCGTTTATTTAATCTCCTGATAGTTATTACTTTGTAGATAAATGAATTTTTAAATTGGGACCTTTTTATATACTGAAAAGCTTAATTGGTGAGGATGTTAAAATTTTAATGAGCTCTCAGAACCAACACCCCATAATTTCAATATGTCACCAACTTTCTAACCCCTCTCTCTGTGCCTCATTTTCCTGTGTGCGCATGTTGATGTATGCAAGTTCATATTTATTTGCTTCGTTAGAAATTAGTATTTATTGTTTAGTCATTATCAATTTTGTAGAACTTAAGTTTACTATTGATGCAGAAACCAGAGGACATTCCGCCCAAAAAAGAGCGCACCCTCAGGGAGCAAGGTTGTTTCCCTTAATTAACTTGTAATTTTGGTAATCTTTATTTGTGATAGTTTGGGCATGCTAAGAGTTGTATATATTGGGCTTGAACTTTTCACTGGTGGTGCGCTTGTGTGCTTTTTCATGCCATGTTTTCTGTTTATGTTAGAAATGCAATATCCGGTTCTTAGTAGTGAAATTTGAAATTCAGTGTTCATTTTTATTTTAATGTTATATTGGCTGCAATAGTTAAAGCACCCTACTTTAGAGGATAATCCTGCTTCTGTGGCTCAGCTTTGAGAATGCTTATGCGGCTGATGTAATATTACATTAGATTTGCTGAAGATTGGGGAGCTACTGTCTCAGTGCACCTTTTCTTGTTCTCTTGTTTCAGCTTCCAGCTAATGACTTATTGGGTTATTTTTTTTAATTCTATATATCATCTCCACATGTATGTGGGGCCTCTAACTAAGCTTTCTGGAAGACAAACAAAGCATTATTAGGTTCCTAATCTTGGCGAGCCTAATCTTTGAATTAGAATTTGGTTTCTTTTTCGGTTATGATTCTTGTCCTTTTGACTTTTCTCCACATCAGTAATTTAGCACTGACCAAATGACATGCCAACACCTTTTTATCTTCAGTTAAAAAAAAACTTGTTTGTTCAATTCCTAGATTAACCTTAGTGCTTTGACTTGAGATTTGATAGGCTGAGTCCGTTTGGGCGAACTTTTGGGGATTTGATCAGGCGCAAAAAAACCCATGGGGCCTTTTTTTTGTTTTTTGTTTTTTGTTTTGTTATCTTTAGCCACCTAACAACATCTCCACCTTCTCCTTGCCACAACAACAATCATTTCTCAATGTGGGATGCAGGAAATAAACACAAGGAACAGGAAGAACAACAGGATCGACAAGGACCACAAACCCAAAACCTTTGTTTTTGCATAACCTTGGTGTATTTTCTGAAGTACGCTTTAAGCTTATCCTCTGAGGGTTTGCAGCAGTAAAAAGCTTGCCGTGATGTGAATCCTTGTGGGTTTTCACTTCCTTTTCACTCTTTATATGAGTGAAAGTTTGGATTTTATTTGTTCTGGAGCGGTTTTGTTAGATGTTTGAGATCTATGATTTGAAGAGGAAAGGAGGGTTTGCGGCAGACTAGAGATAGAGAGAAGGGATTGGTTGAAGTATGTATGTGTAGGCTTTGACAATGGGGGTTGGGACTTGGGAGATGGAAGTGCGTGTTTGGACAGATGGCATATGCTGGATTGGTTGTCAGAAATGATTTTGATGTAGGTGGTGGGGTCTGGACGGCTTGGATTAAGTCGTCACTCGTCAGTGTGCTTATGTATGTACCATGTGTTTTATATGTACCCATACATATATGTGTACATTTCCCAACATATATAAGTTTCATTGAATTTTCTTCTTGTGGTTTTTACCCATATTTATGGATACATTTGTCAATCAAATTCTCTTTTTCTATCCCTCTAATTCCCTGCCATGGATAAATTTTTTCCCTCTCTTTATGTACCCATGATTATTTTCTCCCTTAATTTTGTGTATGTATCTATGGGTCTTTTAAGCGTACCCTTCCTTATATAAGTTTTGTCGAGTTTCATTGTTGTCATTTGTACCCATATTATATGGGTATATTTTGTAAATCTAATTTTCTTCTTTTGTCAATCTGACTTCCTTATTGAGATGCAGCCGTGGATAAATTTTCCTTGTGTTTAGATACCTATTGGTATTTTCTCCTAGTGTTTTAAACTATCATACTATCATAATTTAAGGATTTAAAATTGTGAGATTTGTACGGTTTGAATCCTGTAGATGTGGGATTTAACTCTGTTAAATGCTATTGGGGACAATTTTGGGATGAGAAAAATAAAACTTGGTAAGATGTGTAAAAAACTGGATTTGCATCAGAAAAGGAGAATCCATAAAGTTATGATTTAAGGATGAGAAGTGCAATTTACCGGGACGAAAATTCAAAAATGAAAAGAATGGAAAGAATGGAAAGAGCTTTTGGGATTTTATACTACAAATATATGGGTAGAACTGAGTTTCTTCATTAATTTTTGTTCTTGTGCGATGCAGGGGGCTCAGCTTAGAAAGCACATTGATGCTACACTAGGTAGCGGGAACCTAAGAGAAGCAGTAAAACTTCCAACAGGAGAAGATTTGAATGAATGGCTTGCTGTCAACAGTTCTCTCTCTCTCCCTCTTTCTCTCTCTCTCTCTCTCTCTCTCTCTCTCTCTCTCTCTCTCACAGACACACACACACACACAGACACACACACACACACACAACACACACACATCACAAAATGTCGCCTTTCAATTTTTTAGTCTTTTTGGTTCTTTACACGGTTGATACATGATTACAAGTTTTGTTTCTTATGAAAATAGTCGCCTTCACATCTTGTGGCTCTTGCTCTATCTGTCCCCAATTAATAGAATTAAAAAACCAAAAAATTAAAACCAAATGGGTTCATTTTCTCCCATCTGTTTTAAGACGAAACAAACAGAGCCAAAACGTTTAAGTATCTCTTTCCCCCAATTTCTTATTTAATGTAATCTCTTCTATGGTGATCTATATCTGAAATTTGATTGTTGCTCTTTTAATTTCAGCTGTGGATTTCTTCAATCAGGTCAACTTGTTATATGGTACTCTCACAGAGTTCTGTACTCCAGAGAATTGTCCTACGATGACTGCAGGCCCCAAGTATGGGAGTTTATCTTTTTAATTTATTTAAATTATGTATGTCAGTATATTTGTTACTTTATTGTTCTTTTTTTCTTAAATGATTAGTTTATGGTAATGTTATTGTTTGACATTTCATTGTTTGAGCTTTTGTACCATTGTGTACTTCAGTGCCTTTCTTAAAGCATATCAATATTAATGAATTCGGATATTTAATGTACAAGATGTTAAATAGTTAATAGTAATGGATTCAGTTTGCTGCAAGCTGTTCGCATAAGGACAGACTATTAATTCAACTATTACTTTGAGTCTCTGGTACTGACATGTTTTTTCTTACAATTAATTAATACTACTAAAAGAGTAAATATTCAATATATTTGTAGATAAGATAGAATGAAATGAAGCTTCTCATATCTCTACACCTTTCACCACCCTGCCCCACCATGCCCAACTTCCTTGCTCCCATGGACAACCAACCTACTCCTTCAAACAGTATGTGGAACTTCTTATGCTTCAACTTCCCCTTTTCTGGATTTTCCACCTTTCTCAGCCCCACAAACCCCTGTACTTGCTTCCTACACCATTACAGATAAGAATTCCATTCTGGCTATTCGAGATGTGGATTCTCCAGTAACCAACTGTGCCTACAGTTTTAGAGTTAATTTTCAGTCTCTGCTATATAAAATCATTTTGAGAATTTTTCAGCAAAACACCACACAATTTCTCTTTTTACCTGATGGATGGGAAAGCTTTTTTGATTAACCGAATCCCTATATGCCTAGTACAACCTTTTGTCTAACCCAGCTTCTTTTGTTAATAATTATTTTTTTGGTTTTTGTTTGTAAACAATCTACAGGTATGAGTATAGATGGGCAGATGGTGTACTAATTAAGAAACCTATAGAGGTCTCGGCTCCAAAATATGTTGAATATCTGATGGACTGGATTGAATCTCAACTTGATGATGAATCCATATTTCCCCAAAAGCTAGGTAGTGTTTATTGTTATATTTTCTTTTTAATCATATTGTGCCTTTCATCTGATCATTATAATTCATTGCCCCAATATGTGTTCCCTTCGTTTGTTTTTCAGGCGCACCATTTCCCCCCAATTTCAGGGAGGTTGTGAAGACAATATTCAAAAGACTTTTCCGTGTATATGCCCACATATATCACTCTCATTTCCAGAAAATTGTGAGCCTTAAGGAGGAGGCCCATTTAAACACTTGCTTCAAGCATTTCATACTGTTTACCTGTGTAAGTACCCGCAATAACTTTGGTTTTTCCTTGGTTTTTTTAAAAATTATCCTGAAATAGATTTTCTTGTGTTTTCTGATTTTGAATTGTATGGGCCTCCCCTTATGGGGTAATTTGCGTGCCATAAATTTTTGGGATCATGCCTTTTATTGGATTGCCTATTAGGGTGTTAGGACGATTGACAAATTAATAAGGGATTGTTTGTGGGAAGGTAGTGATGAGCGAAGGATCACCTAATAAAGGAGAAATAAAGCTCTGTAATTGTATTCTTCTTTTAGGCTAAACAAGATGTTATTAGTAATAATCATAAAACATGGCACAAAGATTTGATGAACAAAAGGTCCACCAATATTTTAATACAACTCATAAAAAGGAAAACAAATATACTCTGACTTCATAATCAAAACTCTATAAACTCCCCTACAGCAGCTCCCCAATCTTATAAAATTACAGAAAGTGAAAGATCCCTAAAATCTGGAGACAGTGAAGTCTACAAGGATGCCCTGAATTTTACACAAGAACTCTCCTCTTCATTGCCACTATGATTCTAAAAATTTCTTCTATTTCTCTCCCACCAAATTAGCCCCAAAACAGCTACAATTCCACAAAATTCTTGTCTTCCACCCCCAAAAGACATAACTTTCACGAAGAATGTTTGAGGGTCACAAAATTCTTGTCTTCCTTCCACTCTCAATCAAACATCACCATTTCCATAACCCTTGCACCTTGCAGTGAAGCACGCCTTTTATGTCCCACATGGGAAATGGAAGCATTGCATGAGTAGTTTAAATGATCTTGGGTCTCTCCACCAATTGCCAACTGGTTTGTGTTGGATACTCAAATTCTAACATTCTGAACTTCATTTCCACTTCCATCCTGTCAATTATGTTAGAGGAATCTTGAAAACTTAACTTGGAAGTAATAACAGGACTCCCATGGTACTGGATAGGAGTGTGTCGCGGAGAATAGCAAAATAATTGAAGAATAGGAGCCTTAGGTGTTGCCTTTTACTAATATTATCTGTTAGGGTCGAGAGAGATTGGAAATCATCAAGAGAACTCATTGAAACAGAAGCAGGGTAAAGGTCCCCATGACAGATGATGAGATCATCAGAAAAACAAATATGTGTGAGTCTAAGCTTACTACACTTCCTCTGGAATTTGAAAGAGGGGTTTAGTGTGGAGATTCTTTTGAAGAATAAGTGAGACAAACCACCTCTTGCTAGGAAAAAAAAAAAAATCCCGCTAACTCAGCATTGACTGTAAGAGAGGACTCATAGGTAATGCAGGCTGGGATCCATTGCATCATGACTGTTAGGAATTATAGCCAGCAACAGACGTAGATTGGGATGAGTCATGACTGTAATGATATCCAGAAGAACAGCCTTGATTCTATTAGCGATGAGTTTGGAAATAATTTTACGTAGGGTGTTGCTGGAGGAGATAGGCCTAGATTCACTCACCTCGGAAAGGTTGGGGAGTTTAGGAACAAGGGCATGTTGGTGAAGTTTATTTCCTTGACAAGCTGACTCATACAAAAAGAACTCCGTAACAGTTGAGTAACATCTGCACCAATGATACGTCATGCTTTCCTAAGGAAATGACCATTTAAACTATATGGATCCAAAGCCTTGTTGGGATTTAAAGAAATACGAACTTGAATCACGTCAAAAGCCACCTCAATACACATAGCATTAGCTTGACTATCTGAAATCGAATTTTTAATTAAGTTTCGGATATGGGAAAGCCTATTTGAAATGAGGTGTTCTTCGTGGCACTTGTAGCTTTTATAGAGAGATAAAGCTTCACTCTTGATATCCTCATACTCTTCCATAATGTTGGCAACAGATATTCCAATGGACGTGATCCTAGAACAATTCCTCTAATTAATGCATCTAAAGAAAACATGAGCTCTGAGATTTGTATTGAAGGGGTCAAAGTGCAGCTTATGTTGACGAACCGCAAGGGTTCCTTTAGCTTCCCTAGACGTAACTGAGACATTCCCAACATGGACCTAACTCCTCTTCTGAGTTCAGTTTTATTAGCCTAAGCCTGTGACACACTTGAAATTGCAACTTACCAGCAGCCTGAGAGGTCCAGCATTGAGAAACAGTAGGTAAGAAATCACCCCAATATTCCACGAAACTAAAGAACTTAAAGGGACCCATCCTAGCTCTAGGCATCTGCCCTACCTTCACCAAAGTTGAATTCCAGGGAATGATGAAATCACCAGAAGGATTTGGAAACTTAAAAATGCAGCCCTGTGTACCTCAAGTCTCCAACTCAGCAGGTTGAATACACATAAGGAAATCATCTGTAGCTCGAGTCCTCTTAATTCCACCAGCCACAACCTGCCATCTCTGACAACACTAAGGTTCCTAAAACAGCCGACGAAATACCATAACTGCCACTAGCTGCAAAAGAAATTGTGCTGCTCTTGAAATTCAGTGTATCAGTATAACTAATCTTCTTTTTGTGCTTCATTAAATATATCTGATTTAGTAGCCATATCTTGGGACACTCTTTGTACGTTCTTATGCTTCCGCTGTTTCTGAAAAGCATGTGGAAAGTTTCATACAGTTTGAAATGCCTACTTTTATGAAACTTTGGTACTGTGTAATTCCCCAAAAACATAGTAGGAAGCAAGGATGAAAATATTGGCCGTGCAGATAATATCGGGCCTCCAATTTACGGATATTTCGGAGGATATATTGATATCGTTTCAAGTATCGCGAAAAGATTGACCAAAAAGATAGATATTGGCATTAAAACACAGAAGTTTGGAGTAAAGCTTTCATAGACGTTAAGTACAACCCATTAACACACCAAAGGCCTATTATTTTAATTATTATACATAAAATATTGAAACATATGAAATATACAAAAATAGATGTAAAATTTGAAATTAATTAATTGATTTCTGGGCTTATTTTTGCTGATTTTCTATGTAGTTTTAGGCACAAGGATATTATGAGTTTGTTTGGGCTTTCCTTAAAAAAAAGGAGTTTGTTTGGGCTCAGCCCAAGGTTAAAGTTAGTATCTTAATATATTAAAGAGTTTCTGAGGCATCATCTTCTTCGTCACTCCTCTGTTTTCCTGTCTTCTTTTTCATTCCAAAACCACCAGACTTGAGTTCAAAATCACCAGATTTAGTTCAAAACCATTCAAAAAATGGCTCCAGAGGCGTAAGCCTCTTTCGATTTAGCGCGAAATCATGCATTCGCGTATGCCTCGACAATGCGCAAGTATCAGGGAAATGTTGGCAAATATTGGAAAATATAGAAGATATCGCAAGTATCGGAGATATATTGCCTAAGGGGGGAAGAAATAGACTTACCCCCTATATTGATGTCGACACTTGAAAATAGAGATATATCGGTGTATCGGCCGATAGGAAGTCATTTCTATTGGACTATGAGTAGTGTGACTGTATTGCCATATTTGATGCTAGTGCGAGAAAGCAGAGTTACTTCTATTCATCTTTGTCCAGTTGATGAAATTATATGGGGTACTCAAACATTGAAGTCAATTCCCGGTAAAGCAGTACAGATTGTTAGTTGTCCAAACACGCGGCATGGCCCTATTATTATCAGATGTTAACTAGATTCCATGAATAGGAACATGAACAATCATGAGAGAAGATATTGCAAATGATTAGAATCATGATATTTCTGCAAATAAGAAGGGTAGTTCATGAGTGTTGGGTGAAGTGTCTAGATGCAAATGTGTAGTATGAAGTATGTCATTGAACCTTTTGCTTTTAAACCCCCTAACCAAAGCAATATGCGGTCAAGTGCATCAAAGAAAAGCTCAGTTATGTTTGAAAATATACAACAACAAAAAAATGCATGAAGTGTTTAAACATTAATGTATCAGCATGAAATCTTACTTGATGTACAAAGTTCTTGCTTGAATGGTAAAGTCGGTTGCTGATCCCACTATACTGTGTTTGTTTTTGCAGGAATTTGGGCTAATTGACAAGAAGGAGCTAGCTCCACTTCAAGAGCTTATAGAATCTATCATTGTTCCTTACTAAACAGGGTTTGCATATCCCATGGGATTCATATTTAAATTGAATAAATTGTACTCATCTTCACAGTACCCAATGTTGTGTGCTATAAATACTTTTTGTGCATATGATGTGTGCCTTGGATTGAAATATTTGCTCTCTACTAATTTATATGGGATTTGAAATACTGTGTAAAGCAATTGGGCAGCCCTTGTTCTTTGTATGAGCGGCTAAGCTAATTTGCCTGAAGTGCAATGTGGGTTTATCATATGGAAGTGCAATCAGCCGAAACTTTGCCCAGCTGGTTTATCATATGAAAATGCAATATGGGTACTGCATTTGATTTTGTTGGTTTTATGTAAAATAGTAGTAGCTCATTCTCTCAAGTTTGAAACTGGTTTGGAAATAAATTCTAAATTCTAGATTGTTTGAAGCGATATGCGGTTTTAATCAGTTTTGTTTGACCATCGTAAGCAGGCTGTAGGCTGGGAAAAAATGAATCCCCTAGAGTAGCCTTCTGAATTGTAGTATTATATGCAGTTTCAGGGTAATTGAAATTCGCAAGTTATGAGTCACTTAGGCAGGACTTAGAAACTTTATATGCTTTTTTGCAATTTCCCATATGAACGGAAACAAAATATTTGAGTAAATTTGCTACTTCAATTAAGATTTTTTTATAACGTGCCATCTATTTTTTTTGGTCGAATAATGTGCCATCTATTCAAAAAAGGCTGTGTGATTTGCTACTCTCTATTGGAAGATATTTTAACGTTCAAAATATTGATACACATGCATTGAAAGGATATCGTGCACATGCAACTTTTTGAACATTAAAATGAACATGGTTAGTGAAAGGTGATAGATTATAAGGGTTTTAACTCAAATGGTTCCAAATTTATACACAATTTGCATTTTGGTCTCTCAATTAAATTATTCGTTCAAGGGGTCATATTGAGAGACCATGACTCATTGGAGTTCATGAACATGGTTAGTGAAAGGTGATAGTCATGAGCAGCCAAAATTATCGAAATCTCGAAAATCTCCCAAATCCCAAAATACGAATCCTAACCCAAAATCTCTAATGTTGCATTCGAACCTCTCATGTTGCTGTCAAAGCCCCTTGAGCTATGAAAAAGAGGCATATACCCTTCCTATACACATATGTTCTGTTCACATGACTAAAGCTCATAAAATGTAACGGTGGGACCAATTCGCCGAATAATAAAGAATATGTGGACCATTTAAATAAATAATTTAGTTGGGGACCATTTGAGTTAAAAACCCTAGATTATAAGAAATGTTTTAATTCCAAAAAAAAAAAAAAAAAAAAAAAAAAAAAAAAAAAAAGGAAGAAGATTTAATTAAGGTGGCAAATTATCGGTTTATATTTATTTATAAATATAACTTTGTCTTTTCGAAAAATTTGTAGGGTGATTTTATTGGCACCTCATTATTTACTCTTTACACCTCATACTAATTTTAAATATGAATAACCTATTTTACCCTTGTACACAATTACCGTTAAGGACAAAAAAATTTAAAATTAAAATTAAAATTGCTCACTACACCCCACATATGTTCCTGCAACCCTAGTTTGACTTTTTTCTCAAACTATCATGTTCCTAAACCCTAAACCCTAGATTTATACGTTTATACTGATGAAAAAATATCTTGTATTTATTCATGAAGGGTTAGATTGAAATTAGAGAGGCTTCGAATGAGGTACGAGTTTATTTTTTGGCGTTTTGCAAGTTTAGTATTTCATAACGGTCGCTGGTTGCGTTCAGCACATCAGTACCGAACGCGACAAGTAAATTCGGTGGGATGCTACCGAAACGTTGCACCATTTTCTGTTGGGTTTGACCGGTCAGCAACTTAATATTCGGTGGAGATCCACCGTAAGATGGAATGTAGTTCAGTGGTTTACTACCGAACTTTTACCTGCGTTTCAGTGGCATTCAATCGAAATTTATTTATTTTTTCAGTAACTTATTGCCAACCACAAATTTAATCCAAGCTATTTTGATCTTACTCCTATTGAAGCAACAAAAACAAGGTGACGCCCCTACTGAAGGCAACAATGTGGGAACAAAATGTGTAATGGACTATAGTGATCAATTCACAACTTATTCGGTAATTATTTGTCTGAAATCCTTTTTAGTATCATTAACATGACATTAATGTTTCAAATTTTATATTTAAATAATATGAGTTTTATGTGTAGATATTCAATGGTAGAGATGCATTACTTCACTGGGCTCGTGAACAAGGAAAATTGAATAATATTGTTCATTCAATATAGGTGATTGTTGGCTACCTGTATTAATTCAACATGCCCTTGCAGCTTATCACTAGAGAAGTTCCATGAGTTCTAATACAAACTTCATAATTAATTAAAACAACAAAAGTTCCATAAAGTGTAATACAAACTTCATAATTATTTAAAACAACAAAAGTTCCATGAGTTCTAATAAACACATGCTAGCAAGTCAATTAACCATGACGACGTTGATATGTCATGGTAGACCGTATGTTTGTACCCTCTAAAATCTGTTGCAAGGTCTCAACTGCTTGCTAGTAAGAAAGATAGATCAATGGGACCTACTTGAGATGGCTCAGTAGGCTCGGCATGTACATCATCATTACTATCCTGAGTAGCAGCTACATCTTCAACCTCTACGTCAACATTACTATCATGAGTAGGAACTACATCTTCAACCTCTGTAGTATCCTTAATGTGATCTTGGGGAGTCGCTCTCTGTCTCCTCGTTGAGGCCGTGGGACGCTGTCTATTAGGTCGGGATGATGAAGCTTCAGTAGTACCTCTGCGAGTCCTCTTCATATCTAAAAATAAACAATATTAAGTACACACTCAGTAATGTATTCGGTACATAATCACTGAAAAACGGAAATAAATTCGGTGGACTATCACTGAAAAAAGAACACATATTCGGTGGAGTACCATTGAAAAACCGAAAGAAATTCGATGGGAGTCTCCTGAAAAATAGAAATAGATTCGGTGGACTACCACCGAAACAAGGTAACAATTTCAGTGGTAACCCACCGAAAGTAAAATAAATTTTCGTACAACTCAAGTTCAAATTCAGTGGACTACCACTGAAGCAATGTAACCATTTCAGTGGTAATCCACCGAAACTAGAATCCAATTTCGTAAACCAGGTTCGAACTACCCACAACGTTGAAATCGAAATCAAAATCAAAATCAAAATCAGGCTTTGGCTTTTCAAAAGTGAAATCAAACGTAGGCTTAATCAACACTTAGAAACGTAAATATAGAAATCAAATTTGAAATCAAACCTTGAATAAGGATTTGTGAAAACTTGACCTTCAAAGGCTTTCGGGTTTGCAAAGATGGAGATGGGTTTGGGTTTGCTGGGTTGTGCAATGGGGTTCGGTGGTTTGCAGAGATGGGGGTTCAGTGGTGAGCAAAGATGGTTCTGCGATGGCAAAGGGATGGTTTCTTCGACGGTTCTGCGATGGAGGTTGTCGTAAATCTGATGGGGTGTGCGATGGGGTGTGTCTGCAAGAGGAGAGAATTTTCGATTGGGTGGGGCTGGATATCAGATGGGGTGGGGTTGGATTTCAGATGGGGTGTCTGAAAGGGAAGGGGGTTTTCGGTGGGTATGATATGGGATGGGGTTTACACAATGAGTTAGGGAATGAGGTTCATGAGGGCAATTTAGGGAAAAAAAAGGGGTTTAATGAGTAATTTGAAATTTTATTAAAATTTAGTGGGGTGTAAAAAATAATAGGGTGTAAAGAGCAATTTATGGGGTTCATATAGAATTTCCCAAATTTGTAATATGGTTGTTCACCCCAAAAAGCGTGCAAATGTATTTTCTAGTACTGGTGTATTGGTTCTAAGTTATTTCGGCCCTAGATTGACTTAAATATGTTAATTGGCTTAATTATAGGCGTGCCATTATTGGTACTAAAAGGCCTAATAAAAAAGTGTTTATCATATAAAAAATAGAGTGGATGTCTTGAGCGTTAAGAAACTTATTTTCAAGTCATTGTGCTCCAAGGTCCCGTTTGGTTCACGGAATAAATTTGAGGGGAAATCATTTCCATGTCATTTCTCAAGCGACGGGAAATGGAAGATTCTTTTCTCATATTTGGTAATGCTGGGAAAGTAACCGGGAGATAACATTTTATTTCCTTTCCCATGTTTGTTTTGAGTAAGAATGGAAAATAAAGTTTGTATAAATTTTCAATTATATCAATATTAAATTAAATAAAAAAAGAATGCATTTAATGATATATTGTAAAACTAAATTGTTAATGGGGACAAAATTGTCATGAAAAAATGTTTATTTAATGTTGGTTCATTTCCCAAAATTTTCTCATGAGGAGGGAAAACAAAACTCAAGTTGGAAGAATGACTTCACCTTTCCTCCTACTTTCCTTGGACTTACTAAACATGGGAAAGTAATTGATTTTTCATCCCCAAGTCTCCTTTGCCATGTACCAAACGGAGCCCAAATGGGGAATTGGCCTGGATTGATTCTTTTTATATTTGGTTAATTAAAGACTTCAATATTCCACTTTTGTGATGGGAAGCTCAACGAAACAAAGTGATAGAGCTATAATCAGCATGAATGAACTTCTTTTAACGGTAGTAAAATTGGGTCCAAATGGACGTTACAAACTAAGATAATAAGTGAAACAAATCCGATCAGATTGAAATACAAGTAAAAGAGAAGCAAAATGACTAAGCCAAGCTCGAATTGGACTTACCTAAACTAAAAATGCAATAGAACTTTAGATAATCATAGTTTGAATTGAATGTCAACTATAAATCATACCAACCCAAAGAAGAAGCAGAGCAAACGAACAAAAAATTTCTTAGAAGTTGTCGACTGGAAATGAAGAAGTGAAAGCAAGAAGGTTGTTGAGAAACTAGAAATCAAGTTGATCAAATCTGTATATCTTGCTTCCTCCTTGATTTTCTGTGGCCCAATCTTAATTTATCTCTTTTTAAAGCTATGGAATTTGCCCAAGTCAGTTTTGGCCCAAACTAAGAGAAACATAACTTTGAACAAAGGCCTCTACATTATTTGACAAAAATTTCTATTTGTATCTTTGATGTTATGAATGCCAAACTCTACATCCACATATTTGATGACACTCAAACTCCAAATCCATGTTTGAGCTTTTCCCTCCCGTAAGCATTAGTTTTTTTTTCTTTTTTCCCGCAGATATGCATTAGAAACCTGTAAAATCACATAAGTAATTTTGTCAGCACTGGTTGCATGCAGATTTGAAGACAAACAGTGAAATAGTTTTACCTAAAAATTAATTCAAACGTTTCTTGATGGTTTTCCCTTTTTCCAATCTTTCTTAAACTTTCTCCAAAAAGAAAAACATCATCACAGCTAGAATTTTTTCCCATTTCAATAAAAAAAAAAAAAACCAAAACCACAAAAAAAAACGCTACCTTTACAGGAATGCTTTTCATCCCTTTTTGTTTTTGGGTTATTTCAACTTATTCCACTGCCAACATTGCAACAAAAATATATACAAGGATAAGCTAGCGTACACCTATTTCGATCTTCAACCAATACACATCTTATACTGCACGCAAGCTCCTTGGATCTGAATGGCCAAATCTTGAAGCAACAAAACCATATCCTCCCACAACTGCAATAAGTACACCAAGAACCAGGACAAAGAACTGGAAGTTTGCAAGCAACTCACCCCGGACCTCATTGTCCACAGAATGACATGAGATCATATCATCCTTAAGCTGACAACCATCTGGCATCATGGGGCCATAGAGAGTGAATGCAGTCTGATAAAACCAGAGGCCTTGTAGAGTCATGGCAATACCGCTACATAAATCAATTGGAAAGCTGGTTGGTAAGAGGGCTCCAGCAACAGTCGATAATATGCAGAGCCCAATTAGAAGGACAAGGAGGATGTGGTAATAACCCTCGAGGCCTTTATGAGTTGTTGAGTGAAAGTAGAACAGAAGATACTCTGCACAGAATGCTGTGGCAGCAATCAGACAAAGAGCTCCTTCAGGCAACGGAAGAAATCTAAATGCAAGAAATTAAAAGAAAAAAAGAATTAGACATACTTACAAGGTTATCACATACACAACAGGCCAACAAAAAGAAAAAAAACAGAGGTTATTGCTTAGATGAAGTGATGGATGAATAAATTAGCACTTAATTAACAAATAGGGGTTATGATCAGATGAGTACTGTAATATTGTTGAAGCACCCATAACAATGCGAAAATAGCTTTCACCACCTATCCATGTTTAACTGTAGTCTCTAATGTTAAAATTCCAACGACAAATCAAATAAGAAAAGGGAATCCAACAACAAATGGCTTAAGGCCTATGTGGCAATGAGAACATCCTGAACCATCTAATGAGGTGTTTAAACTACCTGAATCCTATATACTGTGCAGCAATAAATGAACTGAGTCAGAGGAGAAGATTGATGAAGTTGCCGCCGCCATCTCATAATTTAATCAGTTTTCATAAGGACTTGGATCCTATTATTTTATAAAATTAGTTTCACAAGTAATTCTGAGATATTTTTGCAGAAATGGATTTAATCTGCATTCTGCAGGCTGCTGCAAATTATCATGGACTTCGGTTCTATTGGGCTTCTTCAGGTCCTGCTCAATAGGCATGAGCTCATAGAAACTCAGAATTGGAGGTGCCTTAAACCTTAGTATTCCAAGACTGGAACTTCGTATAATGTTCCCACAAGAAAATTGGATCATGGAAAGAAAGACAGAAGTTGCACAAGCACTAACATTTTGATGCCCTAACCCGCAACCCTATTCTACTTCTATTTGCTCTTTTTGCTAGATGAACTACCAGACTAGATCATTGACATCCCATCAATGCTTTTATTTTGAGTTTAATAGGACAAGTAGATTATTCAAACGGTCAGAATCATTGTTATTTCATCTTCAACACGCAAGGGCTTGACAGGTACTGGTGACATGAATGTCAACTTGGGTAGGAAAAACAGGAGTAAGAGCCCTTACCTCACCTATCAAAGGGAGGAACTTAAACAGTAGCAAAGGCAACGTTAGGAGGACCAGACCATAAATTTCAGATGGTTCAGAAAATGGCTCAAAATTCTGAGCATAAGAGCTAGTCCCCTGAAGTTTGGGACCATGCTGCCTTCTTCCACCACCTGCTGAGGTGGTGTCACCACTTTCTGACCTCTAGAGGGGAGGTGGAGGTTCAAATGCATTGTCATTGAAGACTCCTCCAAAGGACAATTGACTTCTTTTCTATAGCAACCCAAAAAAAAAGGGTTTTTGGTTGATGTGTGGCATCTAGAAACTACTGTGTTTCAGCAAAAGGGAAGGCATCAGGGGGGTCTGTTTCACAAGTCAGCAGGCCTGGCTCAAAATTGGAAGTGGAAGAAGCCCCTCCAACGTCAGCATGCACATGTACAAAATGGGTAGCACCAGGTTGTATGGGCTGCAAAGGAGTCAATCTGTCATCTTGAGAGCTGATAAAAGTTCAAACAATTATCTACTCTTCCTCCATGGTCAAACAATGGAGCTGGTTGGAAGTTTGCTCCTCCATGACTAGAGCTGACTTGAGTAGGACATAAATGTATACCTCTCAGCTGACTTGTTTAGTGCCTAGGTTTCGTAAATGTAGGCCCTACCAGATATTTCTTGGGCTAAGGAATTAAGGGAAATCTACTGCAGGGTTCAAAGGTTTTAGGGGAGGAAGGGAAGTGGTGATGGGGAGAGGGTGTGCTGTTTGAAAGGAGGGTCTTGCTGACATCCATTTGCTTCCGGTCACATTACAAAGATTGCGGACATACAATATTTTAGGTTATCACAGAACAGAAATAAAATAACAGATTGCAATTTCATTGACTCTTAAAAACTGGGTTGACTAATACCAAACACTCTGCACAACAAGCCAAACTGTTGAGTTGCCCAGAACAGAGCGAAAGCCCAAGTTTTACTGATGTCCTAAATGAGGAAATTATTAGTTTGTTATCTTCTTAGTTTCAGTATACAGATTCACTAGAAACCAGTAATAATCATGAGAATAATGTCAAACCAATATCAACACGATAATAAAACCACTAAATGAAAACAACCTAGAGACAAAAAACAGATGATGCAGATGGAGAATGCCTGAAGGAAGCTTAGGCCGAACTCAATGTAAACCACCCCATGCCCTATTCACTTGCACTGGATTCTGGAATATCTAGTTGCAAATTATTATTCCCACCTAATATACACCAGGTGACACAGCCATCTACATGTGCAAGTACTATTATTTCAACAGTTTTGCTTAGTAAGTTTCTATAATTATAATCAATTAAAATTTTAACACTGCTAAAGAAACAGAGGAAACACAGATACAAATGCCTCCAACCTGAAACAAAACAAAAAACAGAAAAAAATAGTTTTTGGATGTGTGTCATTTTTGTTAATTTGTTTTTGGTGCAGTGAAAACATCCACTTGAGTAAATAGAAGTAATGCTCTCAATTGACTGAAACATTTACTTCATCAGTCTCAAGCGGTGATTTAATAGCCGCGCCTTTCAACGCAAGGCTCTGGATCAAACGCCTCGTTTTACGCCTTAAGGTAAAACACTGGTCTCAAGACTAAAGATCTAACAGTCCATAATTTTATCTCTTTCTGTATCCTATAACTTTCCCAAGAATCAAACAGATTGTTACACAGCATGACATAAAAGACAATGAAAAAGGAAATTAACATGATGAATCAATTGACTACAAGCATACCTTGTCTTCTCTGAGAGCAGACTGACAACGCCAAAGATAAAGAACATAAGAAGCATTCCAGAGTGCTCAAAATCATTCATGTGAGAAGGGTTCAAGACTCCATTGACAAAGAACTTGAGATGGGTCGAATACAAAAGCTCGATACACATATCAATGAAAGTACCAACAGCTATAATATAAAGCTCCAAATACTTGAGCCTCCCATCAAAACCCGGCACAGGACTCCATACCCGAACTCGGAAGGACTTGGGGTTGGATACATATCTCACCAACGAGCTCCATACGTGCCATACCCCGACTACAAAAAACAACGTCCCTGGCAGAGCATGACCTGGGAAAGAACCCATCTTGCCTGATATATTATCTGCAACTCCTTTGCCTTCTTCAACAAAACCAGTTCATTCCCTTTCAAGGGGAGACACTTTGAGGGTCGTACTTTGAATTTCTTTTTTTGGGTGTCTTGCTTTGAATGAATTTGCTTCTTCTAGAAAAAAGACTTTGATTAGAAAATTTATGCGAGTATTTGTCAATTACCATTCATGAAATTTCCAAATACGGCTACTTTTGAGTTTCTAAAGTCTCATTCGATGAAAAGATGAAGAGGAACCATTCTTGAAAGCCAAGCTCTTTGTTGGTACTTGAAAGTTAGACAAAAAGCAAAAGAAAAAAAAGTCTCACCAGAAAGTCAAAGTTGAACAGCTGATAAATAAATAAAACCCCCAATTAAACAAGATAGTTTGAAGAAAAAGATTGTGAAAAAAGAGTAGAAATTTACCTCAAGACAGCCTAGAAACAAAAACCCAGGCTTTTACACATATAAAACTGCATCACAATTCACAAAACCAGCTTCGTTCTTTTCCCAAAGAAAGTGGTAGAGAGAGAAATATATAAATATATTTATTATGATTATTATTGAGTGGAATTATTTGAAGAAATTAGTGTTACAAAGTAATTGATTAGCGTGTAAAGAGCAATCATCGTGATATTAAATAGAAAAAGGAAATTAATAATTCAAATCGACGTACTTGCAATACTAATGAGCGTATGATTGATCAAAGCCTTGTCTTCTTTTTTTTCAGACCCAAAAAGCCACAAAGACCGAGAAGAGAGAGAGAGAGAGAGAGAAGTGTAAAGGGGGCCTGGCTGGCTGTGTCTCTTGTGAATGTGATGATGATGATGGTGATGACGGTGATGATGATCCGTGAGACCGATGGCCGAAAACGCAAAAAAGGCAAAAGAGTCGGAGATAGTTAAAGGGAATTGTTTTCACGTGTGTCCTTCGTGCGCCGACATCGATATCTCCCATAACGTGGTAGGCCCATCCTAGATCTACACCGTCGGGTCATTTTCTTCTTACAGTTTGTTTCCCATTTCATCACCTGTGTCAAGCCTAGTTGGTAAATTCATAGAAGGCTTTTCATCAAAAAGCATCTATGAGCTTCTTGTTACTTTTCGTTCTTAACATTTTTTTGTGACATTAATGGTTTTAAGGTTAAGTTTTGCACATTAAAATGGTCCTTGTCATCACATACTATTTTAAGAGTAATGCTAGGCTTACCACATTTTTCATACCACAATTGTACCATCTCTCTAATAGAGGTGGAGCCCACCAATACAATGGGACCCACCTCTATTAGAGAGGTGGTACAATTGTGGTATGAAAAATGTGGTAAACCTAGCATTTTCCCTATTTTAATGATGACATTATGTGATGCCTTTTTTGCCCTAAATCATGGGTTAGATCGCAAAGGATGTTTTTTTGCACATAAAAAATGATGACATTATGTGATGCTATTTTAATGTGCTATTTTTATTATTTTTCATTAATGGATGTGAAAAATATCGTTAAAAATAGTCACGTGCTATTTTTAAGGGTCATTTTCGTCCAAATCTGCCCCTTTCGATCTAACCCATGATTTAGGGCAATGTCTATAGTGCATTACGTGTACCGATACACCCAGTTTTTAAAAAAACATGGGTACCAATTATACAAGTTATCAAGCTTCCACCTTTTGTTAATATTTAATTGCAAATGCAATTACGACCTCCCTATTTGGCAATTGGCATAAGATTTGACATGTTATTTTTCAATTGAATTTATTCTAGGTTTATTTACTGCAGTATCCCCTGAAACTTTGGTCAATTCTCAGTTTTCCCTTCGGAAGTTAAAATGGCCCACTTAACCCCCTTGACCATGATTTGGTGTTCCACTTTACTCCCTACCGTCAACTCCATTCAAAATTATGTTAAAATTGCTACGTAGCAAGGGTATTTTAGTCATTCCAAACACATGAGTTATTTACCCACTAATATGATAAGGCAAAGTGGATCACACATCCACCATGGACCAAAAAAACTAATAAAAAATTTCTTTACCTTTGAAAAATCAAAAAATCAACTACACACCATAATTACACAATAAAAAAACTTAAATAATCAATTACCCAACCTCTCTCTATCTTCTTTTCTTTCTCCTTTACTTTGCCACACGCTTCTTGCTGGGTGGATGTGATGGGACAGATTGGTCTTCAAGTGGAATTCTTGTTTTTTGGTGTCCTTGGATTTTGAGGGTCTTTAAGTGTAGTTTATTTGGTTTTCTTCTTGATTTGCAATTTACAAAAAAAGGTTCTAAAAATGCCTATGTTCCAGCCAACTGGTAGGACAAGAGTTGGGGATATGAAGTTTGATGTGGGTAGTGGTGGCCAAGTTCTAGATCGGGACACTGCAATGAAAGATGGGATTTTGGGTGGTGTAAATGGGTTAATTTGTGGTGGTGGTGTTGGTGTTGTGGTTGAAAAATTGGATATGAAAAAGATGATTGAAGAGCTTGAGGCCATTGAGATGGGTTAACCTTCATCGATGATGCGGCGCGTGGGGCACTCATAGAGCTCGTGGCTCGCACTCGCTGCCTGGAGGAGGACGCCGACGAGCTTCTTTGTCTTGGATTGAGCTCGGCTAAATGTTTCTTGAATAAGTGTGCCTTGTCGGCTAGAAAGGGAGAAAGAGAAAGACGAGAAGAGAGAGGCAGTCGAGGAGGGGCTAGAGTTAAGGATGGGAAAGCGGCTAGGGTTGGGTTGGTGCTGCTGAGGGAGGTTGGGAAATTTATTTTGTAATTTTGTAATTATGTAATTGATTTTTTATATTTTATATTTTGAAAAGGTAAAATAATTTTTTATTAGTTTTTTTTTGTCCATGTTGGATGTGGGATCCACTTTGCCTTATCAAATTGATGAGTAAATAACCCATTTGTTGAAAATGACTAAAATACCCCTGCCATGTCATCAATTTTAACATAATTTTGAATGGAGTTGACGGTATGGGGTAAAGTGGAACACAAAACCATGGTCAAGGGGGTTAAGTGGGTCACTTTAACTTTCAGGGGGGGAATGAGATTTGACCAAAGTTTCAGGGGGTACTATAGTAAATAAGCCTTTATTCTATTTGACTCACGATGGTATGCTTATAAATTTCGCAATGACATTTGTTTACTTTTATAAATCTAAAGTTACCGATTCATACTATCTTTTTTTATGAGAACCGTTTTAGACTCTTTGTTTTTTATTTTATTTTTTTCTTGATTTCTATCCTTCACCTCATTGTAGCTTTGCTCAGTTTCATTATGATAGTTGATGGTTTTATTTATATAAATTCTGATGGCTAGTTGTGGTTAATTCCTCCGTATTTTATGTTTAGATTTTAAAAATCAATTTAGGCTGATAGTTTTAATTTTTGTTTCTTGTGTTTTTGTAGAATTGGTGAACGTACATCAATATTTATTTGAGAGTTTGGAAGTATTTATCCATCTGTAGGGGTCTTTTGTTCCAATAGCCTGACGAATGGACTTGGGCTGCTATAAGGGGAGGGCGAACAAAATTTCCCCTGTACCTGAGTTCAAGAACCAGGCTCCAAAAGAGTTTTGAAAAGTTTGCTGAAACCTTAGAAAACACTTTGGATCCTTTTCATCAATAAGCCGAATGAATGTGAAAAATTTATAATATGGCTTGCTTGAGGAGCCTGCAGCATGAGAGCTAGAACTTCACGAGTTTAGCAATTGAGAAAAAAAAACAGTTTGAATTTCTTACAGAAACAAAGGCTCAAAGTAGGGGAGGAAGTAAACTAGGGAGGTTTTGACTAGAGAAGAGGGAAAGAGATGGTAATGGAGAGTGGGGTGGCTTGAGTGAATTTCCAGTTGCTTGACAAAGCTTGGTCGCACTCTGGATGATGCCTTTGCTGGGTAGAAGGAGCCTTCTTTTATAGGCACTTCGACCCCTTAATTTTATCAGACCCCCTCCTTGCTTTTCACTCACTTTCTTCCATTCACTCTTATTTGGTGAAATTCCCATACCCAGCGTGCATATGTAACAAGCTCTTTGGGGTTCCAAGATTTTTACACAGCGGGACCTCTCCATGTGGGTGAGGCACCACCCGCTTTTCTTCTTGGTTTTCTTATTAGAGCTTGCAGAGGAAAGGAGAATGGATAGAGCTTTTTCCTAATGGGTATTCTTCCCCCATGTACAAATTCCCTTTGATTTTTGCGATGGCTTCATATTGACTTTGCTATGAAGCTTTCGCAAGGGCTAAACACAACGCTAGATATTTTATTAGGTATTGTGCTGGGCTTTTCCTAAGGTATTGGGTCATTGGCATCTTGTTTCCAATAGTCAGCTAAGTCTTTCATGGTTTCGTCAAGCTACTGGAAGTAGCTTATATGCTCTTCTTTTGACGAGATGCTGAGTGCCTTAGTTGATGAGAGGCTTTCTTAAACGTTGTAGACCACTACATATTTTCTTAAGTTTCCAGGTCACGTTTTTCTCTTTCTCTATTGCTTACCCACATGTTTAGGCCCAAGAAATGGGCTTGAGTTTTGGTGCTCCCAAGCAGCCCAAAACTTCCATCCCTTGAACCTACAATGGGCCTTATGAGGGCTCGTACCCATCTATACGACAACCTTCTCAGCAAACCCCAGATTTTACGTGGCTTGGGCCCACTTGGGCCTATAGTGTAACTTGGTATTTATAGTAGTGACCCTTTTGCCTGTCATTGCGTGTTTATTTGGCATGTTTGAACTCCAGGGTATGGCAATAGGTTGTGACCGAGATAAATAGTATGTTAATAGGTCAATGAACATGGGCTTACAGAGCCGGTACGTTTTTACTAGCTCGTTGTTGACCCTTCTGCATGGCGGGTTTGCGTGTTTGCTTGGCATGACATGCGACCCATGATTTATACACGTGTATATGACAAATTCTCGTACACCCATTGGGCTTCTTTCTTGCTTAAATATTGTGCTGGGCTAAAATTAAGCTTGGGCCCAGCCTTGGATTTTTAGGCCTTAACATTAGCCTCCTTGATTATTGGGGCCATGAATAGGTGCTAATATGGGCCAAATAATCAAACCCATCCCAAGAATTAAATCCACATTGGTGATATGACCTTCTCGCTTGCCGCGTGTGACAGCGCCATAATCACCTTCTAGCAGCTTTTTATGGTTCCCACGTAGGTATTTGAAAAAAAAACTTTTTATGTTCTTCACTCTTATTCACTCTTTTCACTTCCTATGCGTGCAAACCCAAGCCTTTCACTTCATTCCTCCCTCCACTTTTGATGACCTCTTATTACACCCAAGTTTAGAGAGCCTTTGGAGACGCGAAGGCGTCAAGGGCACCATATGCAACTACTGGTTAGTTACCACGTACCCTCACCCCGCCAGCCCTTTTAAAATCCTCTCCAAATTTCTTGTTTCCCTTAGATTTATCCCAAGGTCAGGCTTGAGGAGACACCTTCGCGAGGTGCGGCATAACTCGGGGAGAAATTTGCAGGGTAGCAAGCCTAATTTCCCTCTCCTTTCTCTTGATTTGGCAAGCTGCTGGAAAGGACGCAAGCGGGAGTGGTGGTAAGCATCGTTCTTCTTTCCCTTTTTGTTTCTTCATCTTGTTACTGCATATATATACACACATACGTACACATATATTCTGAGTGCTTTCGATGAAAAGGACAATTGTAATCTTCCTTAGTTCTTCTTCTTGGTCTTTCAGTGCTGCATGTTTGTTTGATCCCTTGTGCCTATCTTTATTTGCTTGAAATTAGATATCAACCACTGATTAGGGATTTTTGGGCACCCACCAAGTAATAGCTTGTCTTGGTTGATTCTCTGTATCCGCTCTTATTTGTTTGAAACCAGATATTGAATATTAATTGAGAACCCCTGAATTCCCACTAGGCAATAGTGTGTCCTGGTCGAGTGCCATGATATCCATTAAACCTTAAGCAACGTGAGCTGGAGAACCAGCATCGAGAACTGCGTGTCCTTCTTCTTGCCCAGGGTGTTTCTGCCGACGGTGCCAACTTCGTGGCAGAAGCAGCAGCTAGTTCATCTCATCAGGCTTCTTTTTTTCTTTTTTAGCTACATTTGATGGTTTTGAGGTCTGTGATTCTTCATCCCTTCTCATTTTACTTTTCTCTTCTACTTTAGTAACCTTGTCCAGCACCAGCCTATTTTCTTCCAAAATTTACCCTTACTTTGCCCTGTAGGTTGTGTTTGCTTCGTGCGAGACTGACTGGGTTGGCACGTTTTAGAATTCCTTCTGAAAATGAAGAACACATTAATTTTTGGCCTGTATATCTTTTGAATGTCCCAAAACTTCTACTGTGGCAACTTCGTATTGTAATGTTGTTATGTTTGAACTGCTCGAGACATATTGTAATCCTTGCTCGCTATATGTATATATATTATGCATGGTTGGTGAATTTATTCCTGTTTGAAATCTTCTAACGGTTTGGGTGGCCTTAAAACAAGGTATATGTTGCCAAAATTTTGGCAAGATCTTTACCCAAAATTCTCGACATACAGTTTTTTCTTTTTTGTGTGGCTTGCCTAGTTGTTTTAAACCAAAATGCACCCCCTTGTCATGCTTTAAAGAAGTCAGACCAAGATGCGCATGATTTCCTTGTACCAGCTTGGCTTTGGATAACCCATATTATTTTGCTTAAGCGTGAGGCTTGTTAATGATTCGAGATCCCATCCAAGTGACTTCACTTGGCATGCTTACTGCTAAGTAGCGTTTTTTATTTATTTTTATATTTGCTTATTTACATACATATATATATATATATATTCCTTAGCACGAATGGAAGTTTGAAACATAGAAAGGCAAAGATTCTAAGGACAACTTTTTAAAAATCTCCTTCATTTTCATTTCAAAGCCCATGCTGCCATAACGGCGCATTTTACAAAAGTTTCCTAAAACACAACATAGGAATATAGAAGGAGGTCATATTTAAAATGAAAAGAAATGCAATAACACAAGAGATAAAACATGATGCTGACTTAGCAGTAGTAAGGCTTGAGCCACTTTCCATTGATGGGATCCACTGTTGTGTACTTCCTTGACTGCAAACGGGCCTTCCCATTGCGGAGCAAACTTGGAAGGTCCCGACATTTGTCTTCTCATATGCTCGACAACTTTTAGCACAAGATCTCGTTTGAAGGCTTAAGGCTTGACTGTCCTGTTATATGCTTGAGCAACAGTTTTGTGGTAAAGTGCCATCCTTTTTTCGACTTCTACTCCTTTTTCGTCCACGACTTCGAGGTTTAATAAGTGCCAGTCCGAGCATGACTTTGCATCCCATTCAAGATCATTGACAGCCGATACTTTAGCCGTGGGAACAGTGATTTCCACAGGTGAGATGTCATCGGACCCATATACAAGCAAATAAGGCGAAAAACCTATAACACTTCCTGGAGAGGTGAAGTAAGCCCATAAGGCATCCGACAGATGAGCACTCCAACCACCTTCGTACTCATATACCATTTTGCTTAAAATCCTCAGTATAGTTTTGTTGGTGGCTTCCGCTTAACTGTTTCCCTGTGGGTAATAAGGCGTGGAGCGACAATGCTTGATACCGTAGCCACTAAGTGCTGAGCTAACTTGTTTGTTAACGAAAGGTTTGCCATTGTCGGTAACAATTTTGTACAGGATCCCAAACCTGCATATAATGTATTCCTGAATAAAATTTGAGATAACCGCCCATGCGGCCTTCCGGAGAGGAATTGCCTCCACCTATTTCGTGAAATATTCCGTGGCAGTGAGAATCCATATGTAGCCGTCGGAGGGCGGATGGATCCTCCCAATCAAGTTGAGCCCCCAAGTATGGAAAGGTCAAGGGGTTCGCATATGCTGAAATAGTGTGGGAGGCTTGTGACTTAGATTGGCATGAATTTGGCATGTGTGCAACTCCTTCACAAAGTTGTGCGCATCATTCTTCAAGGTAGGTCAGTTATACCCAAAACTCAATAGCTGCCGGTGAAGCTTCTTCGTTCCTTAGTACTCACCACATTCTCCAGCATGTATTTCATGCATGACTTGATGTGCCTCTGATTCTCCCAAGCATTCTAACTGTTCAACATTGAACCCTTTACGATAGAGAGTCGACTCGTCTACGAAATACCTCTTTACTATCTTCTTAAGCTTGTAAGCGTGTTTGGAGTTTGTCGGCAAAATTCCCTCGATGAAGAATGCTAAGTATGGAGACTTCCAATCCTCTGCGAATGAGATGGTGAAAGATTCTTCGGTAGAGGGTATTGTAGAACACGTGGGGCAATTAGACTGGATCTCAGTTGCTTGTTTCTTCATTTTTTTTCCAATAATAACCTTTGCGTTGCAAGCACCGATACAAGCTGATTACTAGCTCCAAGCTACAAGTAGCATTATGTACCTCTTGCAACCTCCATTGTGCTTCGGCCACTGCTATACACCGGGTTAAAATGCCTCCCGTAAGACGTTTGTAGAGTTCTCCAAAGATGATTGCATAGTCATTCAAGTCTTTAATGTTGCCTGCTTCTCCTAGCTTTTCTTTGACTGGCTTTCTCCAATCATTTTCTTCATGCAGCTTCTATTGGACCATTGCTCCGACAATTGGCATGTCTTTCTTTATTATAGTAATATTGGGCTGCTATTCGACAAACGAAAGCTTCGACCCAATGTAGCCAAAGCATTGGCATACGTGTTGGTGATCTCTGGAATATGCTTCAGCACAATTTGCTTGAAAGAATTAATAAGTCTTTCGGTAGCTGTACGATATGGGGCTAAGGTTGCCTCTTTATATTAAAGCTCCCTTGCAATTGACTTGGTACCAGATTTGAGTCACCAATGACTTTCATCTTTTCCACACCCATTTCTCTTGCGGTAGACAATCCCATAACAAAAGCTTCATACTTTTCCACATTATTTGTGCATGAAAAATTCAGTTTGAGCGAGAGGGCTATGGCTTGCCCCTCAGGGTTGATGAGTACCACACATGCTCTTCCTCATTTTGATGTGGATGAGCCATCAAAGTAGCGGGTCCATGGTTCCTCCTCTGTAGCAATGACAACCATTTCCGGTAGCTCTCCCAAAACCTCTTCGGAGAGAGTGGACTCCTCCACTTCAGGAAATAGAGCTAACGGATCAATCACGACTTGTCCCTTGATAGCTCTAGGAGTCGTGAATATGATATCAAATTCGGACAGCTGTAGCAACTAGCGTGCGAGGTGTCCGGATAGCACCGGCCTTGTGAGCAAGTATCTTACGAGGTCGAACTTTACTATGAACTGTAACTTGTGAGAAAGGAAGTAATGTCGCAGACGTTTTGCAACATAGACAAAGGCAAGGCACAAGAGCTCGGTCTTCAAGTATCTCGTTTTAGCTCCCCTCAACTGTCCACTTACATAATAAATAGGACTTTCTTCCCCGCCATGGTCGTCTTGAGCAAGCAAAGCCCCAACTGCTGCATTCATTGCAACCAAATAAAGCTTGAGCGGTAGTCTCAGAATGGGCGCTCTCATGGTGGGTAGCTTGGTGATTGTTGTACTTGCGGGTAGGCTTCTTGGCACTCCTTGCTCCACTCGTAAGGCTTGCCCTTTTTGAGTAAATGAGTAAAAATGCTCATTGTGGCAGCAAGGCCTAGGATGAAACGTCAAATGTATGATAATCTTACAATTAAACTTTTTAATTCTTTTGCTAGCCAGGATGGGTGCTTGATGGCTTGATGAATCCAGCAGCTAAAAGCTTTTCAATCTCCATTTTGATTTGCATTTCGATTTCAAGATGGAAGTTTCTTCTTGGCTGTACAACAATATTCAAAGTGTGGCTTACCAAATTTGGATCCAAGCTGGGTATTTCCTCATAACTCCAAGCAAATATAGACATGTACTCTAGGATGCACGGTAGGCTCTGGGATGCACGGTGATCGAGATGGCCACTGGGCGTGCTTTGTGGCCTTGTGTTTCCGACCCTATATCAGCCATGTACCTAATCGAGTTTTCCAATGAAGTCCCGGAGATACCTAACTCTTTGTCGAAGCAAGGCAGGGACTTTGTCACCAAGTGTTTGATGAGGGACCCAATGGAAAGGTTCTTAAGCATGGGTTTTTACTTGAGGCACCCAATTATTTGCTCAGTCCCACAACTGTGCTAGATCATGGTTTGTGGGAGAAGGAGTTTGATTTGGATTTGGAAGACATTTGGGAACTGACCCATCAAAGTGGTTGCTCAAATTCAGCTAGGGGAAGGATCCAACTGTTGAGTGAAGGCAAAGCGACGTCGTTTTCAGGAGTGACCAATTGGGTCATAGTGAGAAGCAACGACATTGAACATCCAAATACGACGCTCCATTGGAATGAATATGAAGTCAATGATATTTATGATGATGAGCCTCAACCAAGAAAAACAAATGCAAAAACTACTTGTGATGGTGGGTTAGGTTTAGACACTAGTGAGGCAGCTAGCTTTAGCAGTAGGCAGAGGAAGAAGAGCAGGGCTTGGACGGCCTCCAAATGTAACTAATATGTCTTTTGTGGAAATCTGAATTTTGTAAACATGGAATTAAGGTTGTTTATTGATCAGCTCCTTATAATTCTTCACTGTTTTCCTTCTCTTATTCTTTCACACACACAGCCTAAGCATGGCCCATCATACTTTCATTTCATAGTGTTGTCTATTTCGAAAAAGGGTTAGTTTTTTGAACACCCACCTGCCAAAAGCTTAACCAAAATTTCCAAAGACGACAAAAGACTTTGTTTGGTTTGCTCTTGACATGCCCAATAGACACCTGTAAATGGTTGCGACTCTTTGCAACTCTGGGTTTTAGTGTGGATAGTACTACTACAAGCACACCAAATACCACATAGACTACACTCTCTCCACCCATGGACACAAGAAGAATAAGTGATGCAAATAATGTAGTGAATTTGTAAAACGCTTGCATATATAAGATCAAAAGAAAATATAAAGACGAGATAAAATGTGTAAAACATAATTCCCAAAGTGAATGTAAGAAAATCAAAAAAAAAAAAAAAAAAAAAAAAAAAAAAAAAAATCCAAACAAATATGAAAAATATGAACTAAAATGTGAAAAATAGAACTCCCTAACAACTGCCACGAAAAGTAAATAACTAAAAAACATCTTGAAAGGTCTGCAATCCCCTTAATTAATCTTGTTGGCTACCTTGTGAGTCTGTGACAATCTCCCATTCTAATTGGCTTCTTAAGATCTTGGTCCCCTCAAGGAAACTGATCATACTCAAGAATATCATCTTCTAAATCTTCCTTTAGATCAACAATATTAGCCTTTGTCTCTGTCTCGACTTCATATTCTAGTTGTTTAAGCTTGTTGTCATATGACTGAAACTGGCTCTTCAAGCTTTGGTTTTCCTCAACTAGAACACCTTGCTTAATGAGTGACTCTCCAAATAGTTTCCTTACAACATCAGTATTGGCTTCAGCAACACAAACCTCTCTCTCTCTCTCTCTCTCTCTCTCTCTCTCTCTCTCTCTCTCTCTCTCTTTGTTCTCAAGTTCAAATTCTAGTTGGTCCAGCCTTATTCTCAATGACTGCAATTGCTTCTCTTTTTCTGCAAGAATACCACGATAGTTGAGGGAAGCCTGTTCGGATCTTTTCTGTAAAGCACTAACATAGTTATTTTTAGCCAAAAACTCTTGTGTCCTTTTGTAAAGTTCATATTGTAGCTGTTGGTTTTCCTGCTCTACAATATCTTTCTCAGTATGCAACTCTTTCAATAAGTTACCTAGAGAAGTAATATTGGCTTCCGCAACATCAAGCTCTTCGGTTTTCATCCTAAGTTCATATTCTACTTGGCTGAGCATTGCTTTCCAGAATGGCAATTCGCAAACATGATCAAACTCTATCTTCTTCTCGATTTCAAATTCTAGCTGTTTGAACTTGTTGTCATATGACTGAAACTAGCTCTTCAAACTTTGGTTTTCCTCAAGTAACTCTCCATATAGGTTCCTTAGAACATCATTATTGGCTTCTGCAACATTAACCTCTTTCTCTTTGTTCTCAAGTTCAAATTTTAGTTGGTCCAGCCTTGTTCTCAATGACTGCAATTGCTTCTCTTTTTCAGCAAATAAACGATTGTGGTTGAGGAAAGCCTCTTCGGATCTTTTCTGTAACGCACTAACATAGTTATTTCTTGCCAAAACCTCTTGTGTCATTTCGTCAAGTTCATATTGTAGCTGTTGAAGTTTGATGTTTGATGATTTTAACTCATTCTGTAGACTTTGATTTTCCTGCACTACAATACCTTGATCAATTTGAACTTTTGTGTCATTGCTAACCACAAGGGGAACTCAGTTGGTAAACTCCTTGAGAGTTATTTGTTTCATTGAGATTTGAAGAAAATACTCACAATCATGGCCAGTAATGCTTCTTCAAACACGAAGGCAATAAATTAGTTGAAGTGAAAGATTGGTCATTGGAAAAATGGTAGTCTTGTGTTGGAAGGAAAGTACATGCATATGAGGTGTTATACTCATATTGTTAATAAGGAATGTTGTTAGGTATGTAAGATCCTCTCCTCAAAGGTTAGAGGAGTTTAAAACTTTGTTTTGAAGGAATGAATTGAATGCAAAGGGCTTATGGTGTTGGATGTTCCAATTAGGTGGAATTCAACATATATGATGTTGGATGCCGCTTTGAGGTTTGAAAAAGCCTTTGTGAGAATGGGAGAAGATGATGATGCCCCATTTGTGTCTTGGTATGGTGAAGATGAACCGGTTAGGGAAGATAAGGGGGGTCATTGCATCTCATAAACCTAAAAAAAGGTAGGGCCACCAACTAAGGAATTTTAAAGAAAAAAATAGACAACTCAGAAATGTTTGATTAAAAAAAAATAAACTCGTTTTACCTTGTGAGAGTTTTCACTGCTTGAAGAGACAAAAATGGTACTTCTCTCTCCTTGTGAGAGTCTTCTTGCTAATAACTTGTCTCTGTTGAAGACTTCTTGCTAATTTGCCAAAGATTTTATACTGAAAATAACAGCAATAAATATCAAAGTAGTCATACATATAATTATTGGGATTTCTCAAAGAGAGAATGCCATTTTAGTACATATAATTTCTTTTCTGTCTACTAATGTCACATTTCTAATAGTGTTTCTACACTCTTATACATGTTTTCCAACAACTACAAGGAAAAACAACAGCTCAAAGCAAGCAGAAGCACGTCAAATTCACAAACCCAAGGAACGTCAAATATTGAGTATACAATTTCTAAATCCAACCAATATAGAAGAGTAGTAATGCTCATTTGTGCTTTTGTTCTCGCAAATGGATTAGACTAAAGCCATTTCAGGAACCACATTCCAATTAGCAACATGTAAATTCATAAATTCATCAAAACTAAAGCCATTCTTCCAACCAAACAATAAATGATTAAAAAAGCAGTCATATTCTAGTTAGAGATTAGGAACACCAATGGTTTCTGGTATTAATTCTAACAAACCACTTAAAAATTTAATGGTCTTCAATCATATAAACCTAACTCAGCAAACAATTTGATTTTTACACATGTGCGTGCTTGTGAACTTGAGTCATGAGCCAAGAGAAGAATAATTTAGTGACTTACTGAAGAGCATCAATTGCGACCTCAGAAACAACCTTTTGTGTGGCAACAACTACCAACCCAATTCTGTGAATAGAGTAAAAAACAATGAATTTGAATCACAGTAGATCAGGGGGAAAATAAGAAGAAAAAAAAGGAAAAAAAAAGAAAATTTGATATGCTTGTTCTAACTATGTATAAACCATCTTCCAATCCCACAGTTTAACATCCATCTACATATATAGTACCCTTGTTGGATGAAGTTCATAAGGCAGGTTTGTATTCCTAATCATGTTTGTCTAAGAGCAATTACTTCAAATGCCTCAACTAGCACTAACGGGATTGAAGGCCAGAAAGCAAAAAAGTAACTAACAAACATGTCGATTTATTTTTGTGAAATATATTAAATAATTTTGATATGAACCTTATCAAGCACATGGGCAAAATGATGACAACTGGAGCTCCCAATACACAACAAATTAAACGTAAACTAAAAGCTCCCCAATGCAAGTACACAGCAACAAAAGGATTTACAAACACATATCCATAAGACATCCCAAATTACTTCGAATAATGCTCTTACCTTTGTCAATTTTTTTAAAAGATCTTTTATTATATGACATTGAAGATGAGTACTTTTTTGCATCCTACTTCCCACACCAGCTTCATAATTTGATTGCAATGGAGCGTGAAATTGGTGATTTGTTCTTTGGAGAGCAATTACTGAAGTCAAACTCACATCTCCACAGTTTTGAAAGATATGGCATGTAGCATGACAATGAAATTTGAGAAGTATTGGGGTGACCCTGATAAAGTGAACTAACTTTTTATGGTATCGCTTGTTCTTGATCCTCGGTACAAGTTGGGGAACTTGGAGTTTGTATTAAAGAGGAGGTTTGAAAACCTGCAAGATGCTACTAAGAAGAAGAATGAAGTGAAAGAGCTTTTAATGAAGCTTTCTGAGAAGTATGTTATCCCACCACCTCCTACTCAATGTACTAGTGCTAATGGTGATACTAGTTATACTATTAGTACTACTATGACGAGTTCTAGCTAAAAAGGAGTAGGAAAGCACCTTTAGGAAATAGAGAAAAGTTAGATAATAGAATCTTAAGCAAGTAACACCGTGATATCAATAGTGGCTTCATAATCATGATGCTTTAGAATGGGTGGTCGGGTGGTTAATTCATTGGGTGCTTCTTTAACTCCTAAGATTATGGAGGCCTTAATTTGTTCTCAAAATTAGTTAAAGTCCGATGACATCTTCTCTATACAATATAAACTAACTATTCAAGAGAAGAAGTTTTATGAATCTATTAAATCATGTATTTGTTTTTATTTTTATGTGATTTAATGATGTATACTATATATATATAGAGTTTGCATGTTTGCTTAATGTTTTAATGGGTTTATGTTTCTATTTGTAGATTTTACGAGTTTACTTGCACCTATCAACTTAAGTCCTGCTATTTTCTAGTGATCACTTAATATGTGAAGCTTTCATTAGTGGTGTAATATTTTAATTTTTGGCTTATGTTTCGAACTTCTAATTTGGTTTGTATTTTAATTATCAATTTTTACATTGGGTTGTAATTATTAAGATTGTATATTGTGATTGTACGTTTGGATTGGATGACCATATTTTGTTTTGGAAGTTAAATTGCATATGCATGTATCATGTATGTTGTTTGCTTTGTTAGATTGTATTGATTGTGAAACATAGGATTCAATTAAAGTTAGGCCCAATTGAAATGTGAAATTAGAATGAATTAAATTGCATGCATGTTGAAATTATTAAAGTTTAGGCCCAATTGTTATACAAATGTGAAACATGGTCTTGATACTAAAGTCCAATACAAACAAAGGGACAAAAAAAGAAAAAGAAAAAGAAAACCGATACAAATCAGAAAACTGAAAAATCGCACTTGGAATAGCTAGTTCAGCTTAATTAGATTTTCCTCCTGTTTTTCCTAAAAATTAAACTGAATCAGACCAATTGAATAACACCGATTCTAATTCTGATATAAAATTCAAACTGAACCGAATCATACCCCGCTCAAGCCTAGCTTTGAGACCACTTCCACCCATTTGGCATGACAAAGGGCAATGGGAGGCAAGAGCAAATACTATTCATGTGAATAGTGTAGCCCTAGCAAAAAGTAAGGTGTATTTCCACCCATTGCCATGGCAAATGACAAATACTATTCACTTTTCTTTTCTTTAAAATTTTTTTTTTTACCTAAACAATTAATTTGGAGAAGATTTTTGTATAAGATTTTGGGTTCCTCCGTGTCAATATTTATTATAAAATTCATATTTCATAATTTGAATGAATTTTTCGGATAAAATTTTTGGTTGCCATGTGTCGATATTTATTAAAAAAAATAAATCCCAAATTTCAAATAAGATTTTAGGATAAGATTATCGGGTGTCACATGTCGATATTTATTATAGAATAAAAATCTCAGATTTCAGACAAGATTTTCACCCTCTAAAATCACACAACGTGTCATCTCTATCTTCTAAATTTTTCTATAAAATAAGAGGCTCAACTCATACCTCTCACATCAGATCTTCTCTATCCTTTCATTTCTCATATTTTAGATTTCATACTCCACTCTCGATGTCAGACATGAGGAGATGCTTGGAGAGGTAGGAGTGAGAAATTAAAGAAAGAAGGCGTAGACAAGCTGAAGAAAAAAGGGTGCAGCAAGAATAAGATGAACAAGTTGCCATGGCAGTGGGTTTGCTCGATCTACCAAGCCAAGGCCGCCGCTGTGGTTCATAAGTTGGCCGTGGCCCGAATGTGGATAGACATAGGCGTTCTCGGGATAAGAATCTTTTGGAAGATTACTTTATCCCAAATTATGTGTACTCTAATGTTGATTTTCGAGGGCGATGTAAAATGCAACCCCATTTGTTCAAAAAGTCATGCATGATGTGTACAATTACGATGCAAACTTTGTTTAGAAATGTGATGCTGCTGGGATTTTGGGGCTTCTTCTAGAGCAAAAGCTGATAGCTATTATTCCAATGCTGGCGTATGGTTCATATGTTGATTAGGTGGATGAGATTGCTAGGATGGGGAAGTCTACTACTCTAGAGAGCTTGGTCAGATTCTGTGATGCAATCGAAACTCTCTACACTAGGGACTACCTCCGTAAACCTACGCCTAGGGACCTCCAAAGGTTTCTACAGAAAGCCGAAGCTCGAGGTTTTCCAAGCATAATTGGAAGCATTGATTCTATGCATTGGCAATGGAAGAATTGCCCAACTGCCGGGCAAGGAGATTATAGAAATAGGAAAGGGCAAAAAAGTATCATCCTCGAAGTCATTGCTGGATTTGATACATGGGTTTAGCATGCCTTCTTTGGAGTTCCTGGAACTCAAAATGACTTGAATGTGCTAGGTCAATCCCCGATATTCAACGATGTCTTGAGAGGTGAAGTCCGAATATCACATGAAATCAACAGTATCGTATATTGGAATGTGTCTTATCTAGCAGACAACATCTACCCGAGGTGGACCACATTTGTCAAATCAATTCCGCATCCCCGATCCAAGAAGGAAAAATTACTTTTTGCCTATCAAGAGGGTTATAGGAAAGATGTTGAAAGGTGTTTTGATATCCTCCAAGCTCGATGAGCGATTATTAGGGGTGCTGCGTGTATGTTTGATGAGGAGTTGTTGAGGAGCATTATGATGACTTGCGTCATCCTCCATAACATGATTATGAAGGATAAGTATGATTATGATGCTCTAGACGTGTTTGAATCAGATCCCATGAACACAATCTTGACAAGAATTTATGAAAATCCCATGTGCTCAAATGGACAACCACTGGAGTATGAACTGTTGGTTAGGGACGGTCATTTCATGAACCCTATGATTGATTGATATATGGAGATGCAATCTTCTTATATTCATGAACAACATCAAGTTGACTTGATGGAGCATTTATGGGCGGTAAGAGACAATGACGGTGAATGAAGTAAAGTGAAAATGCTTTGTTTTAAATTTTGCTTTGTGTTGATGTTTTATTTTGTATTATGCTTTGGTTGTGGTTTTTTTTATTTTTTATAATTATGTTTTGTTTGATGTATGCAATGTGTTGAATAAAAAGGTATTTGATTGAATGATTTCTTTATTCACTCAAATAAAATCAATACAACTAATTAAGAATTACTACTACTTAAATAAAAGACAAGAATTACAACCACTTTAATACAAAACATTACAATACAAATTAAATAAAAGACAAGCAACCTAACTTAATGGTTTTGATCATTTAACCAATCAGTGTTGCTAGGTCCATCGTCATAGAAAAGTCTTGTTCTCATAACATCCCTTTGTTCTAGCTTCTTTAATTGTTCTGTTTTAGGGGACATATGACTTGTATCCATGGTCATGGTTTCCCGATGCTTCTTCTCAATGTCGTGTTTGCATATATACTCCATTTCTCTTGCATATTCTTCATTCATTGCCTTCTCGTCCGCATCTTTTTTCATGTCTAATTCAATTCTCATGGTGCCATTCCTTGCAATTTGCTGTAAAAATTTGGCAGTATCATTACTGGAAGTACTCCCTCTCTTCTCCTTCACTGCCTTTCGACCAATAGGCCTCATCTCCTTTTGGATTGGTGCATCTTGACTCATTGGGGAATCCAAGGGCGAATCTGATGTCGTTGAACTATGGAGTGACATCTTGTTCAACACAACGGTCGGACCCGTGGGAATAATTCTGAATCTCAAACAATTTTTCACCGTCTCCCAACATTGGTCATGGTTGAAAGATTTTTGCCTTGTCCAATGGCACCGAACCACATTTATGCTTGCATAATCTATTTTTTTATAAAAAAATTATTGAAAATGCAAGAAACATTAAAAAAATATTGGAAATGCAAGAAACATTTACAAAATATTGGAAATGTGGAAATGCAAGAAACATTATAAAAAAAAAAGGACATTAAAATTAATAAAACGGAAATTACAAATAATTTACCTCGTTGCCAAGATTTTCCTTGCTTTGATGGTTGTCCCTCGCTTTTGCCAATGCATCTCTCCATTTCCCCAACTCTTTATTCAAAATTTTCCACCTACTAGATAATGCCATTTTTGTACGAGCCGAACTCGATCTTTCACAAAATTCGGCATGAATTTTTCTCCACATATGAGAGAATTTCATCTCATTGCCCATGATTGGACAATGATCAACTTATACCCAACACTCACATAACCGAACATCTTCCATGGTGCTCCACGCCCCTCCGATTTCGATGGAAGATGGTATAAGATGGTGAATAAAAATGAAATTTGAAAGTGAATAAAATGTTGTGTAGCAAGTGAATAATAGTAGAAGGAGAAGAAAATGTATGAGGATTTGGTGTTGAAAGTGAAGAATATTGGTAGGTATTTATAGAAAAAAATTCAAGAATATTTTGGTAATTTAAAAATATTTTTTATAATATATATTTTTCATATTTTTAATACAAAAAAAGGGGCAGCCATTGGATTGGAGGAGAAAATTGGATCGGAGAGCCTAGAGGCCGCCACCTGGCTTCTAACCGTTGGCCGAAAAACAAGGCTAATGCCAACTTGGCGTCAGCACGCTGAATTTAAATTTTTTTTACTGTTGGCGTTTCATGAGCCAATGATAAATGCCCTTGGGCTGGAGCACAGGCTCGTTCTGCCTTCGAGCCTGCCTAATTTCATGGGACCCACAAGCTACCCGGACAGCTTTGGCTCACTAGACGGGTGTTTTGGGGCTTGGGCCCCCCCTGCCCTGGCACGGGCTCATGGATGGAACCGCTCTAAGTAAACCAAGGGAGCACAACACTCTTTTCAAAATTTGCGAAAGCGTCCACGGCGCCAAGATACACCGAAACCTCTACAGGCCAATGAAGTTATTCCACGTGGCGTAGTTTCTCAATGACACACCTTTTCTTACTTACGTGGGATCTGCCACTTTTGGCCGTCAGAATCGCACCCTCAATTCACTGTCGTGGGATCATCGCTACCTCCCTCGCTGTCGCTGACATCCCAAACTTGTAACGACGTCGTTTTGCATCGTCGTCCCTGATCCCGGCATTTCACCCACTTCTGAATAACACCGCCACCTCTTTCTCTCTCTTTCTCTCTCTCTCTAGCTTTTGGATTCATATAAACGTGGAATTTGACATTCTAGATCTCAAGGAATTCCAATTCCACTTCCAATTCATGCCAATGGTGAATTTCGATTGCTAGGTCTTTACTGATTCGCTGATTATATGGTTCTGGTTTGAGCCAGGAGCCAAACCATGAGTGATCAGATTACATAGGCTCAGAGTGGTCTCGCTGGAACCGAAGGTTGCGATCGGAGCTTCCGAGTCGGTGAGGATTTCGGTTTCAGAAGTAGATTTTCCAAGCCTGACTCTGGTAGCATTTGAATTGAAACGATGTCGACCAAGGTCGTGTACGAAGGGTGGATGGTACGATATGGGCGGAGGAAGCTCGGCCGGTCCTTTATTCACATGCGGTATTTTGTGCTTGAGTCTCGGCTTCTCGCCTACTACAAGAGGAAGCCCCAAGATAATCAGGTAAGTCTCTTTCACTTTTTAATTTTTTTTTCATATTTAATTTATGCACTGAATGTTTAGGTGAGTGAACTTTCAGCTGAAGTTGGTAGTATATGGAGAGAAAAAAGAGGTTGTTTGATTTCCTTTTTAGTAATTCTTTTGTTATATATAAATTCAAACCATTTATTTTCTGCAAGACTGTAAATGTGTTTCTGTGTGCTTGATTAGGTTCCGATCAAGACACTTTTAATTGATGGAAACTGTAGAGTGGAGGATCGAGGCTTGAAGACTCACCATGGGCATGTGAGTTGATCAATATATTTGTTTATATCTGTGTATATTAGTGTATATAATAACATCATGTATATGTATGAGGAATTTCTCTTTTGCTGGAGTCTTACATTAGCCCATATATATGTAGATGCATATAAGAAATTTACGCACTTGATACTTGATGTCAGTTAGTTTAAAACTGACTATGCCATTTACTTAGAAGTTCTAACCCTTGCTTGTTTTAATTGTTGAATATTTTCTCTTGCTAAAAAGTCTTACATTAGCCAATATATATGTAGATGCATATAAAGAATATTTGCATGCTTGATACTTGATGTCGGTTAGTTTAATACCGAATATGCCATTTACTTAGAAGTTCTAAGCCTTGCTTGTTTCAATAGTTGAATTTTCGACTTGGAAGTGTGGTTCGTTGGCATAGTTTTGAACTTCATGTACTATTCTAACATGTATATACTCATGGTGTTCTTTTTATGAAGAATATATAGATATATCTGAGTTTCAATTGCTGGACTAACCAAAGACATGGGAACCAATGGTTCTGTTGAGTACATGATGAAATTAACACAAACAATACTAGGGGCATCACCCTTTTTGTTACATTTGTTGTATCTTAGGGGAAATGGAGTATATGTAATGTATACACTGGATAATATTATCTTCTGTTGTTCTTGGAAGATGGCTTATGACTAAATCACTTGTAGCTCACTAGGTTCCTTAGCCTCCAACCATTTGAGATGGATTTGAAGAAGGGTAAAAGGGTCCATCAGTTAACCAATTCAAATAATATTTGCAAGTAAAGGTTTTAGAAGATTTGTGTTTCCAAGCCCTTCTACCAAACCTGAAGGGATACAAGAGTAAATTTTTGATCAAAGATAATTGGCTGGAAAGCCCCACAATTTCAATTTCATTTAAGTTTCTTCAAAAGTTAAAATTTAAGAGAATGAGAGTGACAAATTGGAAATTGACACATTATAAGTAGGTGGGAAAACAATAAGCACAAATGAAATTCCCATCTAATTCTTTCCCTATCCCCTACAGAAAGATGAATATTTTGAGATAATCAATTCCCTACGAAAAGTTTTCCCAAAGGCTTATAAGCAAGCCTCTCAACACCATATTGGAATCCCGCCTGCTAGCATCAAGATCACATCTACTTTGAATAATAGCGTGCCAAATGACTTCCCTCTCTTAAAGAACTCTCCACAACCCCATCCGTAACAGAGCCACCCTCCTCTTAATCAATTTATTATTGTGAAAGTTGTGGTTCTAGCAATTGAAGACAAGTTTTGGGCATATCAACGTGATTTGCAAACATGACCCATTGTGGCATGTTCAGGTTAAAGCGGAAGTCACGTAAGGAGTCAAGAAGTCCAAAAAGGATAGATTAGAATCCCAAAAGGTGATTTATTAATCTGGCACATCCTTTGTAAAGAGGGGGAGTAAAGTGTGAATCATGTGTTTCTTCTCCGTCCTTACTCCTAACATTTTTGGTGGAAGCTGCTTAAGTAAGCCAATATGTGCTGGGTCATTCGAAAGTGGTGCTTTGAGTTGTTGAGTATTCAGTTCAAGGCCTTCTGGAATGGGAGGAAAGCCAAAACCTTGGGTGGTTGTTTGGTGTTTGCATCTTTTGGGTTATTTTGGAGCATACTAGGAGAACTTTCGAGGATTACAAAGTTGTGGTGGAAGATCTTTGGGATTGAGTTAGATTTGGTCTGCATTGTGGTTGTCGGTTTCTGAAGATTTTTGGGTGATTCCTTATTCAAGTTTTTTTTTGTTGGATCTGCGAGCTGTGGTGGAGTGATGTTTGCTTGTTGAGGTTCAGTTTGTTTCTTTCATGATGGCTTGTAATATGTTGTTAGATTAGAGTGTTTGGTCATATTGTTTCTTATTTCAAGTTGGCTGCGGATCCCTCATCCTCAGTTTGTACTTAGCTTTTTAGTTAATAAAGTTTGTTTGTTTTTTTTAAGTCTGCATCCAGTAGCTCAGGCTAAATGCTTCTCACTGATGATGCTTGCTTCCTTTTGCAATACTAAGTTGTGATCTTCAGGTCTTAGCCTTTAAAAATGAGAGAGAGAACAGTCAAAATGTGCTGTAGTATAACTGAATGTTTTATTTTTATTAATTAAAGAAACATGTTTAATGCTATCATTCTTCTACAATGTTTTGAATTTTTTGCAATTTTAAGAAATTCTGGTATGTTTTTTGTTGCTTAAGTGGTGAGTTCTTAAATCTTATTTTGTAAGGGTGGAAGTGCTGCCTATATGCTAGGTTTTTTGTGGTTTTTAATACAACCAATATTTCATTGTCAAATCATGTGGTCTTAGGTGATGGTTGCTAAATACTTTGTATTGTTTTTTATCCAGTTGGATGATCTTGAATAAAGTAGTATTGTAATTGATTATACAGTGTTCTCTGAGTGCTATGTATAATCATACTCCTCTAAAGAGCATGCCAGCAAAGTACAGTGTTCTCTGAGCCATGCATATGAGTTTGGGGCAGTTGGGTGAACATGCCTATGCAGATCCTTAGATTGTTTCCACTAAAAAAAGAAACGAAAAAAAAGAAATGATTGTTTTTGAAATTTTCTGATTCTTTGGAAAGCCGAACCTTCTATGTAAATCTGTTTTGGAAAACTAGCGGATTCACGTTTCCCTCGAACAAACTTAGTTAGCTGTAATTGATCGTTGGCTTTGCCACATGCTGATCTCTGCTTCTGATACATCTACTTTTTTTATTTACATTCTGCCCTCAATATGATAGTCTTACAGTGCTTTCCATATTCTTCCAAAAGCTGTTTCTGAAAGAGATTATTTTGATGCAGATGGTATATGTTCTGTCTGTTTACAACAAGAAAGAGAAATACATTCGAATTACGGTGAGGGGCTTTTTCCTTAACTCTTTCAAAAGTAAATGAAGATACTACTGTTGATGTTCTTTTGATCTTCTATGCACATGTATGTGTAGTTTGAAAAATTACCGGAGTTGGTATATTGTACATTTATAAACTTCATTTTCTTTTTACTCATGCCTATTTACAATTGATTTCACGGAGCACATCGAGTTTTATAAGCTGGTTCTACTGTACATATATTTTCATTTTCTTTTGTCAACTTAACTTGCATTTTCAAGGGGTTACAATTAAAATCATCTCTTTTCCCTTTCTGTTATTATTGCTGATGAATATAGCTATGGAAAAGAGGTAAAATATGATTCCAATGAGTTGTTAGTCCCGTGGTGTTGGGACTAGTTGGGCCCCCCATGTGGTCGGGGTTCGACACTCATCAAGGTACCTATCAAGCAATTTGCTTGTGTTTTCTGCCCCAAAAGATTGTAGGGTTCGGTGGTGGGCAGAGAGGAAGGGAAAACAAAGGAAGGATGGTTCTTATGCATTCATAGGGTGTTCTTTATAATAGGGTGGGGGAGGGTGCATCTCTTAAGTCCACCTTTTGATTTGATTTGATTTTTAACTTTCCCTTTCAAAGTTGGATGGAAAGGAAAGTGCTTATCTATAAATTATGTTATCATGAACATTATCAACGGGCCCAATAAAAAAATCTGTAGCATGTCTTAAAGCAGGAGAGAGTTTTATTTTACTGGGAATAGCATAATGCAAAGAGCAGCTAGAGCATTTTCTGTGCTTTATTTCATTGACAACATATGGATTTAGTTTTTTTTTAAGAGTAGCTGTTGGGCAGGATTTCTGAACTCCTACGTTCACATATATACACAGCGTTTTGATCTTCTGAGTGCTGGAAGTTATACTGCTTAAATTTTTGTGGGGAATACTTATTCATTTGGGTAATGTTCCTGCTCCAGATGGCAGCATTTAACATTCAGGAGGCACTAATATGGAAGGAAAAAATTGAATACGTCATTGATCAGGTAGTTATTTTTGTACCAGCTCCTGTTTGTTCGACAAGGTCTTTCCTCCCACTCTACCCCCCATATCTAATTCATTTAAACTAGAGATAGGCTATGCTTTCCTGCATCTCATGGGCTAATGGATACAGGAATAATTGCATCTTGATCTGTGTGCAGCATCAAGGTTCACAAGTTGCAAATGGTAACAAATATATTTCTTTTGAATACAAATCTGGAATGGATAATGGGAGGACTGCTTCCTCATCCGACCATGAAAGCCAGTAAGTAATATAACTTATAGAATATGACCACAGCAATGTTTTTAATTTTCTAGATGCAAATATGGTATTTTATTGTGCGACTATGTGTGTAGTTGATTAATGATGTATTGTCTTTTAACTGTGGTCTTTTTATTCTTGGATTACTTCTTCAAAGTGTTCCTATTGTTCGCTTGTGGGTTGCAGTTCCATAATTAATTTATGTCTCAGCATATACTTTTGGAAATTGATATCCTTGTGCTTGTCATCTACTTGTGTAGTCTTAATTTATTTTATGTTTCATAATTTTTTTGCAGGTTTAGTGCCCAGGAAGATGAAGATGATGCCCATCCAAATTTGTCGCGGAGAACAACAATTGGAAATGGTCTAAACTGATTTCTTTCTGCCATTGAGTTCGAGATAGATTGGTGTCATCTCTTTCTGAATCTCATTGTCTTTGTTAAGTGCAGGTCCTCCAGAATCAATATTTGACTGGACGAGAGAATTAGATTCAGATCTGTCAAACCAGAGTAACAACAACCAAGCATTTTCGAGAAAGCACTGGCGTCTCCTCCAATGCCAAAATGGTAAGCACTGCCATGTCATAGAGCTTTTATTATTATGCTAGAAATGAAATTTCGGAACATAAACTACAACTATTTGGTAATGGTATTCATGGTGCATTAATGATTATTATTTTCTATTCTGGTCTTGGCAGGCCTGCGCATTTTTGAAGAACTTCTTGAAGTAGATTACCTTGTATGGAATTCTTTATTTGTTTACTCCATGTACGTTATGCTATTTCTATATATCAGCTTGTTTTAGGTTGCAACCACAATTTATAATTCGGTATATGCAGCCAAGGAGCTGTAGTAGAGCCATGAAGGCTGTTGGAGTGGTGGAGGCTACTTGTGAAGAAATTTTTGAGCTTGTGATGAGCATGGATGGAACACGGTTTGAGTAGGTGTTTTCCTTCTATTATTTTTTTTTTTTATAGAGTAGATGGTGGTGCTATTTTAAATAGCTAGCTAATGCTTTTTTTTTTAAAAAAAAAAAAAAAAAAAAAAAAAAAAAAAAAAAAAAAAAACACAAAAAAAAAAAAAAAAAAGAAGTATGAAACGGCTCTGATGCAGGGCAGCGGCTATAAGCTGCTGTCCAGTGACCCAAACATACCCAAAATACAGAGAATAGAAGCATAAAGCATAGAATTGAAGTTGGAATGAAGATAATGAGTTCTAGGGCAAAATCCCAACAGAAACTCTATAGACTAACGTCTGAAATTATATTCATCAACAAAAACTCCGTACCAAGAGTCTCTAACTAGCCTCTTTATACTAGAATACAGAAAACCTAATTGACATAGGAAAGTAAAAACCTAAACAGGAAATTAAACCAAATCCTAGTAAGAATAGGAAAACAAAAGAAGTAACTAATAATTTAAAGTAAATAGAACCCTAGCCCAATTGACTGATGGGCCTAAGTAATCTTAGGGAGCTTTGTAGATGCTTCTGCATCAGGCTCTCGACTTTGTATGCTAACCATGCTTTGGTTTGGTTATCTAATTTAAACTTGATTGGCCTGAACTAATGGTATCAGATTGAAAGCAGTAAATATTGGTGTATTATATTGGGTTATTTTTTGAAAGAGGTTAATCATACAAAAAAAATGGATTTTGCTGTTTCCCTATTGTAGCAGAATTCTACGATTTGCCATATAATAAGCCCCCTTTTAAAGTTGTAATTTGTTTTAAGAGTACCATTTTTATTCATTATGGATCTTCATTGGTCCAAAAATTCCCAATTGCTCTTGGTTAAAGTTAGACAATTCAACCAGAAACCCATTGGCAATGAATGAAGAGGCCCGAGCCAAGGCTTATAATTCCTGATGTGGGAGTTTATATTGTGAACACGCCCCTTCACGTGTGAACCGTATTGAGCAAAATATGTGCATCAATTATATAGAAAATCAATACATCACTTCTAATAGTATTCTCCAGAAATAAACTTTGAATCATGGGAACAAGAATTAAGGACCAAAATCGAGGTAAACGGTCAATGTTACCAGCACTGTGCTCAAGCTGGAGAGTAGATATTAACTATTCCCAGCTTGCTCCAAATAGTAATGATGTTGGCTAACTGATAGGATTGGAGCCCTTTAATTTTGTATTAGTGAAGAATGAGTTCTTCTTGTCCGTTTATTGCCCATAGGAAAAGCAAACTGAGTGCCAAGATGAGATCTGAAACAACATAAGAGACAAGAACTGAGATTTCAGATGAGAAGATTCAAGGTGAACATATATCATAAAATCCGGATCGGAGCTCTCTCTTTGCTTATAAATAAAAAAAAAAAAAAAAAAAAAAAAAAAAAGAAACACAACACCTGAGCATCTGAAAGATCCATAAAGGCAAAAAACTACCTGAGACTGATAGTGAGTGGCGGGCTGGTTGCTGAGAGCTGTGATGACGTCATTGTTTGTGTTAGTGTGCTGCACTGGGTTGATGAATCAGAAAAACAGGGAAGTGGCATCAAGCAGTAGGTTGATGGTGGTTAAACTCTTGTTTGCAACACTAAGTTTAAAGTCATTGTTTTAGAGAGAAAGCATGACAAGCAAATGGCCTGAGTGACTTGGGGTTTAGCGGTTGTAAGGTTCAGGTTTTTGTTCTGTTTTTTTTTTGTGGCAAAAGAGGGCTTTGTGGTGGCTGTTTTGGGTCTCAGGAGTATGCTGCTCTGGTACCACACTAAAGTTAGAGCATCTAACCTAAAACCAATTGGCAATGAGTGAAAATGCATATAATATTTTATGTATGTAATTATGTCACAAGGGTGCAGAATTCCCAAAGTGAGATTTTATATTCTCAACAGCCTAAAATGCGTTCGTTGTTCGCTGTTCATTTTTCTTTTCTTTTCTTTTGTGTTTCTAGTTTAGAAAGCATGAGCAGTAATATTTTTCCATTGCAGGTGGGATTGCAGTTTCCAGTATGGTAGCTTAGTTGAGGAGGTTGATGGACATACAGCAGTACTTTATCATAGGCTTCAGCTAGACTGGTTCCCAATGTAATCTCTTACTTCTATTCCCTATTACTTCCGTCACCATGTTCATGATTGCAGTTTCATATTCTGTCAAGTAATATAAGCAGACAATATTTACTACAGTCTATGTGTAGATGGTTTCTTACAGGCTCCTCCTGATTTTTTTTTTCTGGATGGGGTGTGTTGGCAAAATTTAGGGTCTGCTTGGTTCGTGGTTGGCTATTAAGTTTCAAAATCTATGTTACAATCTGAAAATTCTTATTGTGTTCAAAATTTTATCTTATTTGTTAAAATATGAAAACTTGTTCGGTATTAATTTTGAAACCGGTTTTCAGAATTTAAAACAACTTTTCCATTTAAGAAACCTTCTCTTATTTTGAATTTTTTTGTTGCATTATCTGAAAAGGGTCCATTTTTATTCTTGTTTTTACAAACTATTCTACCAAACACAAGTTTAAAAAAAAATAAAAATGAAAAGCAGTTTTTAAATTCTTTACCAAAAGGGAGCGTAGTTTTGTGAATTATGACTTATGTTTCATGTTTTATTATGAATCTCCTTATTTCTTCTGATCAACTTTGAGAAATGTTATGACATAGAGGATGCGAGGTGCTTGACTAATGTGCTAGTTAGCAGTGTGCAGTTATAGTTTTGGTTCTCAAGAATTCTTTATATTACAGGTTTGTGTGGCCTCGTGACCTTTGCTATGTGCGCTATTGGCGTCGAAATGATGATGGAAGCTATGGTAATTTGCTCTCCTTGTTCCCTTGCTTGAAATTCTGGTTAATTGGTGTATATAAGTTTTCAATTGTTGTTTTGCAGTTGTGTTATTTCGTTCTAGGGAGCATGAGAACTGTGGTCCACAGCCAGGATATGTGCGGGCACATATTGAGAGTGAGTTCTGTACCTTGTTTTGAGGTCTTATATCATTCAAGGGATGAGAACTAGTTGGGATCTTTGTTCTTATTGTTTAATTTTTGTAGTTAGCCATCTCAGCAACATGTATATTGATTTTTCCAGGTGGGGGTTTCAACATTTCCCCTCTAAAACCTCGAAATGGGAGACCTAGAACTCAGGTGCAGCATCTGATGCAGATTGATCTGAAAGGATGGGGTGTGGGTTATGCCCCATCCTTTCAACAGCATTGTCTCCTTCAGGTGTTAAATAGTGTTGCTGGTAAGTTCGTTGTTTACTTGTTATAACTTCTTTGGTGTATGTTTGTGTGTTTTATTTTATTCTTTTAAAATCGTTAATAAGACACAAAGTTTCGAGTGTTGTAGTTTGGTATCACTTTCCTCATTGATTTCCATGCCCTGTCTAACTAGATACCCTTTGTCTATATTCCCATTCTGCTTTCATCTGAGACATGTTTTCTCTTATTATGCTATATTGGGAGTTAAATGAACTTTTGGACAACACGTATTAAAGAAATGGTTTGACATGAATATGATATGAAACTCATTGTTCAATAGATCTATGAAATTTGAAAATTTTCCTCGACTACAGTCTACAGGTAGCAGTGGTTGAAAATATAAACTTGGTAGATAGTTTGGTCAGTTCGAGTTGTGATTCTCCTCACTATGCTTGGTGCAATATTGTACTTATTTTTATATGGGGCAGTATTTGGTGTGTGTATTTATGATTGTTTGTTTCTCCTTAATTATATTTTGATCGTGCTTTGAGACTATGGATTTCTGTTAGCACAGAAAATGGCTATGCTTGGTGCAATATGTACTTTTATTCTTTTATGGCAGTATTTGGTGTGTGTTTGTATTTACGATTGTTTTGTTTCTCCTTATTATATTTGATTGTGTTTTGATGCTCTATGGATTTCTGTTAGTACTTTTAAACTGCCCAATATTCTTCATCAAAGGACAATAGAAATCTTTCATTAAAAAAAAAACATAAAAACAATAGAAATCTTCCGGCTTAAACTGCTTGGATGCCGAAAAAACAAATCATAAAAGGGTTGTAATGAGTAGGAATTCTGTTTTTCTTAAAGCTTGTTTCAATCTGAGTTGACAGTCCAGCAGAAAGTCATCTCTTTCTTGTATAATTGAATCTTTGTATTTTTTTATATATTTTTTTATGACAGGACTACGTGAGTGGTTTTCCCAAACAGATGAAAGGAATGCTCCTCCAAGAATCCCTGTGATGGTCAATATGTCCTCAGCTTCTGTTTCTTCACGAAAGGGGCAAAAGTTGCATGATTCTTCTATTAATTCTGCAAACAGAAATTCTGTGATGATGGATGACTACTCGGATGAGGATGAAGAATTTCAAATTGCTGAGGCTGAACAAGAGGTTTGATCCAAACTGGTTCTCTTATGCTTTCCTCTTTTGGAATTTAGGTTCTTTTTTTATTAGAGTTACTATGATTTTCTTTATTACATTTTTCAGGCATACCAAAATGGCCTTGAGAACGATATGAAGAAGACAGGTAGGCAATTACTATTTCTGTTTCATTCTATTGGTCTAAGATCCTTCTTTGTGGATTTGAGTGTAACACCTTATCACAATGTTTCTCATGACATGCAGCTGTAGAAGAAGAACCGGCCGATCAAATTGATTTATCCTGCTTCTCTGGTAATCTACGGCATGATGACCATGATAAGGCTCGTGATTGCTGGAAAGTTTCTGATGGGAACAATTTCAGAGTTCGTAGCAAGCATTTTTGTTATGATAAGACCAAGGTTCTTTTATTTTTCCCCAATCCTATGTAGTTTGTGATTTTTGGGAAGCAACATTTATTGATTAATGACGGTTAGAATTTCCCTTATACTGTTGTCGGTATCTGAAGATTCCTGCAGGGAAGCATCTAATGGATCTCGTTGCTGTTGATTGGTTCAAAGACACAAAAAGAATGGACCATGTTGCTCGGCGTCAAGGATGTGCAGCACAAGTATGTATTAGAAGCTCTGTTCCTTCTTGGATTGATTTGACAACATGTTTTAACTGATGTTGCATTTTGGTGTAAAAACAATGAAATTTTAATTAGATCTTCAATTGGGTTGTTTTTGTCTTGTATTGCCACTTGATGAGTTACCGACCTTGTTAATCTATTTTTTAATGATAGAAGCTCAAATTTTGTTCAACTAGAAAGAGTTTAAGTAGGATGAGCAAGAAGCCGATCCAAAACTCAAAAGTCAATCCATTTGGTCCCTTATTTTGGCTTCATTATTGGCCTTCTCTTTAGGATGGCCCCAGTTTCGTTCTATGGTATTTAGATTGGAAGGCAGCTCTGAGTTGATGGTTAGAGTTTATTTATTGGGGTTTGTTGTTTAGGTGTTTTGTCTCCTCCACTTTGAAGTTTCTATGCAATGATTATTGTAAATAGGAGTATTCATTTCTATATAAAATAAAATAAAAAACTCAATGTCAATCAAATCAAAGCTCCACCCTACTCATGAAGATTGCCCATCAATCTGTTATACATACAAATATGTGTATATGATTGTTTGATTACCTATTGTCTTCTTGTTAAGTCCTCTATAGGTTGTCAATAGCATCTAAGCCTTGTTTGTGAATTTGTGTAGGTTGCTTCAGAGAAAGGGCTTTTCTCTATCGTCTTTAATCTGCAAGTAAGTAGCTTTATTTTATTTGGTTCAAAATTTTACACCTGATTTACAGGGAGACAGCAAGTGATGAAATGCTGTACTCTAACAGGTGCCGGGGTCAACACATTACAGTATGGTATTTTATTTTGTAACTAAAGAATTAGTACCTGGATCCCTCTTGCAACGGTTTGTTGATGGCGACGATGAATTTCGTACTAGTAGACTGAAGCTTATTCCATCTGTTCCAAAGGTATTAATCTCTGTTTCTTTATATATGAAAAAAAGAATGTGCACCTGTCAAATTCAGGGCGATTGCAGCCATCCTTCATTCTTGGCTCATGAATTTTATATGAATATGAATTATAATGTTGATAACTTTTAGAAGATTCAATTTCTTTAGAATGTGGTCGTGTACAATTTCAATGATAATTGTATGTGGGCTTGCATTTTCCTTTCCACTCTAAAATAGAAAGATAAATCAATGTGTATGTATTCTTGTTTTGTTCAGTGTCATTAATCTTGTTTTTTTTTTTTCAATTCAAATGTTGGAAAAAATAATTATCTTGATGGATTTGTATGAAGGTTGCAAAACATGTCAGTTCATAATTTCAGGATTATATGGGCATAGAAATGGGAGCTAATTTGGATGACATATTTGTACCATATCATTACCGAGCCACTTTGAAAATCATTCTTATCTTTGTTATTTTATTTGGTAAATAAAAGTATATGGAAACAAAAATTCTAGGGGCACACCCCAGGGTAAGAAAGGAAGGCCAACTCAGCACCAAGGACAGTTTGTTTTGTGGGGGGGGGGGGGGGGGGGGGGGGGGGGGGGGGAACAGCATGCACAATCAGAACAAAGCTTACAACACAATCAAGAAAGGGGAGTAAAACCACAAGAAAGACCTCTCAACCACTCCCCTAAAGACTTGGCTATTCCATAAAGTTGTGGCAAAAAATAACTTCTTAAGGATAGCAAAAAGATGCTTCCCTTCCTACATCCACTTCCTTACGCTGAGCCACCTTGTTACTATCATTGTTCCAACAATTGAGTGGTCAAAGGTCCTGCACTGCACAGTCTTAGGTCTTAGGTCTTCAATAAGTCAACCATAATATCAACTAGAGTAGAGGGGCAATCCAAGCTACCTCCATTAAAAGTTAGGTCAATAGAGTCAAGAAGCTTCTCAGAAGCATCCATCTGCCCCGCATATCCCAGCATAGGATATCTTCATATCCTCTTGCGAGATTAAGTGTGGCTGTCAGCCTGTCAGCAAAGAGATGGTGTCCCACAGCTCTAGAAATGTAGCTTAAACCACCTCTACAAAGCGAATGAGTAATATTGTAGAATTTGACTCCTGTCATAATCTTATAATCAGTGTCCTTAGTCCATCTATATTAACCGATATTTTCCTTGATAGCAATATATCCACAGACATTCATAAATCTGGACTACTAATCTTTCCAGCGACACTGATATGTTCATCTTTGGTTTGTATTAGGATTCTCAATATGTCAATGATAATGTCACCTTCGAGTGACTTATGGATTGAACCCTTGGAATACACTTTCAGCTAATAAAATCTTAGCTGCAGGTTTACTGATAAATATGTACATTTTTTTCTCCTTATCCTTAATACGGTGTTGCTCTTTTCATGTTCCCTACCACAATTTTTTCTTTTGTTTTGATGTAAATTCTGATATATAATTTTTTTTCCCGTTCTCTTATCTCTGTTTATACCATAGGACAAGGTTATTTTATGGGATGTATGTTATTAAATATTATTTATGGAACCATGCAGGGTTCGTGGATTGTCCGCCAGAGTGTTGGGAGCACCCCCTTGTTTGTTGGGAAAAGCTGTTGATTGCAACTATATCCGTGGTCCTAAGTATTTAGAAGTAATATATTCTGGCCAGAGATTATCAGAATTTTTAAACTAACTTATTAGCTCTTGTGCTCGGCAAGGTTCTTTGATTATAATTTCTTACCGAGAGGTGCTTGTTTGACGCCATTATTATGTTTTAAGTTGGTTCATATGTTTGCAGATTGATGTGGATATTGGTTCGTCTACTGTTGCTAATGGGGTTTTGGGGCTGGTAATTGGCGTAATTACCACATTGGTGGTTGACATGGCTTTCCTTGTACAGGTATGTTTCTCTTAATATAATGTTATCATCTGAGTTTTTATTGGCCATGGAATACTGTACTGCGTACCATCGTCATATTCAGCAGTACATTTGAACTAGTGAATAAGTGATGGGTTGAATAAAAAACAAGTTTTGAGTTTATGGGGCTAAAATAATCTAAAACCCACTCAGGTAGTCAACGGGACATGTAAACTTCTTTACTGTTGGTGTTTTGACCTGATCATAGTTACTGTTATAGATTTTAAACTTAATTTACATGATCTAGAGATAATAAATTTTGGTATCGTATATTATTAAATACTATATCAAGGTCAAATTTAATTCAGTAGGTTGGTAGATTTGGTTTAGATATGGTTTCACATTAGGCTTTCCTATCATGCCCTGAAGCAGCCAACAGAGTCATCTCCACCTGCTACATGTGATGAAACTGTTCTCTAGTTGTAGTTTCAATTTTCAAAAGCTTGTAATACCCATGAAGCTAGAAGCCAACTAGTCAGTCTCTGAACAATCTTTGGTTCTACAGGAGTTTGGTGTCAAAGAAAGTCCTATGAATGTGTCTTTCCTGGTACTGTTGTATGCAATTAATTCTGGGATTGTTTATTCCGTCCCTAGTCCATAAATATTAGAATATAGTTCTCTCTTATTTCTGAATGGATTTGGTCCCTCGCTCAACGATTTGTTTGCCTATTTGTATTAGCCCAGTGTAAATCTTTTGAGTGTAGCTAAATCTTTGCTCTCATCTTTTAGAGTATGAAATATAGTTGTTATTGCATTTTCTGAGAATCTAAATGACATAACTTTCATTCTTTGCATTTTTCTTTACTTGAATTTTTCACTTTCAGGAAACATTTTTTTACTATCTGTCAAGCAAACTGATGATGGAAATTAAGTTTTGTGGGAAAAAATGAATTAATGCATGTGTCTCCAATATCCTTATGCAATATCATTAAATTTTTCATACCATCCTTGTACAATGTTTCTCACAGATGCATTATCCGTAGTATAGTTTTTTTTTAATGTCTTGGTCTTACGTATACGTTATCCTCAGCTTTGCCTACAGATTCTATATTAATTATCGTTCTTGTTTGATAGATATTGACGAATGCTACGAAAAGTATAACATTGATGTAAAACAAACAATTAAAATGAAAATTATTGTATTATGAATTTTGAGAAATGTAGCAGTAATTGATTTTCATACTTTGCCAATTATAATCAAAATGTTATAATTGGCGCATTTTTATATAAAAGAGAATCTATTGTCATCCCACGAAAGACAGAGAAAAATCATCAAGTGAGAGACCTAATCTAAAAGAAAGAAAGTCATCAATCTTTTATCCAATACAAGAAAAATAAAATGTTCTATATCTAATTTCATACTCAAAAGCTTGCATTTAACAGAAGCCAAATAACATTCATAGTCCCTGTAGTTTCTCCGATTTTCCACTTTAATTCCTGTAGTTTTAAATTTGGAAATTAAGGGTACGTAGTTAAAGTTGCCATCAACTCCGATCTGTCAACTCTATCAAATGGGTGGATGGAAAGATAATGTTCTCAGCACCTGCACACGCTTTCCATAAGACCCACCCTTTTCACATGCTAAGTGTGTATCCTTCACATCATCTTTCCATCCTCCCATTTGACTGATTGAGTGGATTGAAGTTGATTGTAGTTTAAGTAAAATGCATACCCTTAATTTCCAAAACTGAGACTACATGGATTGAAGTTGATTACAAGTATATATGCCCTGAATTTCCAAAATTGAGATGACATGGACTGAAGTGGAAACTAGGGGAATCTCAGGGACCATAAATGTCTTTTGTCCTTATTAGAACCTACCTCTGTTAGATTTGGATTAATCGGATCACCTAACAGAACCTACCTCTGTCGCAAAAGACAGGAGTTATGGGAAAAAGTTAGATTATGGTCTTCACTATGGGCATTGACTTCTGCAGACTTCAGAGATTTATCCTCATGGATTATTTGGTTAGGAAAGCAGCCATTTGCTAGTTTTCCATGGTTTTCTTTTGCTATAAGTTTAGGGGTTTGTTTTGTATTGCTGCTATAGCTCTGTTTAGGTTTCTTTTTGTGGCCATCTTGGCCACCACTTTATTTTATTGTTATATGCAATAAACTTTTGTTTCTAAAAAAAAGGAGAAACAGAAGTTTTTTGTGTTCCTTTGTTCTCACTTTGTGGTTTGGGGAAAGAGGAAGCACGCTTCAACTTTATGGGGCTGTTTGGTCCACTCTGTATTCTGGAACATTTGGATGGAGCGTAATAGGAGAATTTTTGAAGACTAAGGGAGTGGGAGTGGTTGAGCTTTGGGATAGAGTTAAGTACTGGGCAGCTTTGTGGGCTTCGGTTACAAATGATTTTAAAGACTACTCTTATTCCACTATTATGAGGGATATGGCAGCTACGGTTAACTGAGGGTTGGGGGGTGTGTTGTTCTGTGGTTTTTCGGTTTTGTTCCTCCCTGTTAGTTGGGGAGGGACTGGTGCTGTTTGTTTCTCTGTGTGTTGTTTTTGTTTCTTCGGTGGTGGTTGCCTTATCCACCTCTATGCTCTTTTGCTTAATAAAGTTTCTTCTCTCAAAAAAAAAAAAAAAAAAAAAAAAAAAAAATTGAATTAATTTTTAAGACTCAGATGTTCCAGTAAAAATTTCCTACCAAGTTCTTGTTTGGTTTTCCTAGAACATAATGATCCACATTTTTGTGTAGCTTTGGCTTGGTCGCTCTGTATCTTGTATTGCCCTTCGTAAGGTGTCATTGCTAAGAAGGAACACTTAAAAGAGACCAGCAGTTTCTTAACTAGTCTTTTTCATTTTTCTAGGTTTTTTTTAATCCTCACAGGCAATCTCCTTACAACCTCAGTTAATTTGTTTCGAATGAAATTGATATCAATAGGATGCTCTTAGTTTGTCACTTTCATTTTGTACAGAATGCTCACTTATTCCATTTTGTCAAGCACTATTCAAGAGCTTTAAGGCTTTTATGTCTAGAAGGTTCTTATAGATAAGATGTCATGAATATTTAAGTAGAATAATAGTGGTGGCTTAAGTTATTTAGTATTTCTGATTGCTAATATTCTATCTTGGTTGATATAAAATGTTTGATTGACTAATGAACAGATGTCAGAGGCATGAAGATACTAGGTTTCTTGGTATTTCGTTGCTTGATTTAATGCATGTGAGCAATCGTTGGCAAATGTTATGTTACATTGTATATTGACTAGGAAATGTTTACCTACAGGCAAACACTACAGATGAATTGCCAGAGCGGCTAATTGGTGCCGTCCGTGTTTCTCATATAGATCTCAAATCTGCCATAGTACCAAAGCTGGAACCGGATCCATCATGATGGACAGACAATTAACCCGTACTGATTTCATACAAAATCATATCATTGGTTCAGATATGCATGCCTCCGGGTTTCATTGCCATATCTCATTTCAGGATGAAACCCATATCTCATTTCAGGAATGAAGGTCGTCTGTTTCAAGTGCAATTTTTGCATAAAATAGTGACAGGACTGTTATGATAACTAGGTAAATTGTTTTCTGTAACTCTTTTTTTGAAGTAAATTCTTTTTTCTCTTTCGAGCCTCTCAAGACTGTTGCATGCTTAGTCTTGTGAGTTTGAGGTGTTTCTGAGTGATCTTCATTGGTAAAGAAATGGCTATGTCCATTCCTGAAGGCCCTAGATTGGGGATTGCGGGATACCCATCTTAGTACGTATTCGTGAGAACATTTTACCAAATGGGAACCGCATGGGGCTGTTGGTTCGTTATAAAGTTCCTTTAGGAACTGTTTTGTGCTCTAGCATATAATGTATTAAGGCAGACTCTCTTGGCCCTTGTATGTTCCGAGGCACGAACCAGTTCTTGACATGGCTACTTATCCAGAGAGTTCTGGCTACAGGTTAGTTGCAGTAAATACTTATAGCACAGCAGCTGACCCTGGTCATTGAGTTTGAGGTACATTATCCGCAAAATTCAATAAGAGAACTCTATTCCCTAGCCAATAGGAGATGTTTCATTTGTTTAATTCGTTTATTGTATTCTTCGGATTGCCATAAAAACAGTTTTCTTTTCATTGGAGATGCCAATTGAGTTGTTCGAGTTGTACTGTTTCTGTTCGTTTAGAATATTACAATAGTATCACTTATCAATTCTCTTGAATTCTGTGGGTTTCTTTAAAAAGAAAAAAAGAAAAAAAAGCATTAGTATGACTTGCCATTCGGGTTAGTTTTATAAACCTGACCTGTTTATTAATTGTCTTGTATAGGTCGTTTCGTCGTAAATTATAAACATTCATTAGAAGCCTCTTATTCCTAAATTAAGCTCATTATTCTTAAGTTTACTTGATCTAAATACTAGCACATCTAATGGGAAGGGAACCATTTCCACTTGCAGGAATTCATAAATGATAAGACCAAAAGATGAAAGAAAGTAACACTACCAAACCGTAAACTCCGCTTGCCACAAATTGGGAGTTCGGTTACTTGAGTCACAAGTTATAATTTATTCAGTAATGCTGATAACCATTTCTTTGCAATGCCAAGAATATTAATATCTTCAAGCACAAGGATCCTTTTGGTACTCTTTGCATGGGAAACTGGAGTGGAATTATGTTAAAATAATTATATTCATTTTTAATTTTGAATTACAGAAAAAGGTTTTACATATTAATTTTAAAGAGTGGGAATCTGGTGGAGGATGTTAAAAGTCTTTAATGCACCATGTTGCCTTTGTCCAATAATTAATTAATTAATTATTATTCCTTGTATGATGAAAAGAAACTTACTCATCAATTAGATTCCTTTATTTCTGCGTTATAGGCGTATAGAAAGACAAGACTTCGGTTCCTCCAAAAAATAAAATAAAATTACAAGACTTCCTTAATAAAAGAAGAAGAAACTAATAAATGATAAAAATTCATTTAAATAAAATAAAGGGAAATTACTCATTAATCACATAAAAACGATGTTATTGATGTGAGATAAGGTAAATTTTGGTTAGAATACGTATGCCCTGATACATTGATACACTGAGAAAGCATCTAATAAACACACAACACATGAAAATTCAGTAAGCTTAAGCTGCTTTTTGAGCTACAAAATCCCTAAAAGCATCTAATGCAGCAACCGAACTTGTTGGAAAGCCATGCTCAAACTTGGCACTAAGCCTAACAGCTCGTTGTTTCATTTCTTCATCGCCCATCAGCTTCTCAATTCCCTTCACTATATCATCCTTCTTGATTTTCTCTGAAATTTCTTCAGAAATCGGATACCCCACTTTCAGAAAACTCACCACCAATTTGGCATCATGGTGTTGGTCGCCTCTGATTGGCCACGCCAAAAATGGGACCCCACGCCCAATTGCTTCCACGGTTGAATTCCATCCACAGTGTGATAAAAATCCTCCTGTTGATGGGTGGCT